TTCCAATTGCTGAAACCTTGACTGAAGAGCTTCAAACTTAGTATTTGTACCAGTAGTTAGAATGTGTTCATTGCCCACCATAATAAATATGCCTTTGTGTTTTAATTGTTGAATATAGGCTACATTAAGTCAAATGATATTTCAGATAAAATGTGTACACCAATATTTTGCTCTCCCCTCTTCTTCCATATTTTGAAGCCATTGTGTTTCACTTTCAGAATATACAAAATTAAGAAAAATCAGCGAAGAGTCATCACACATACTCATGTACAGTTGACCTTGACTGCATTATGTAGAACATGAAATCAGTTGTTGTACAGCACACTGTTGTTGCTCGCTGAGTATGCAAGCGAAGACATGCTCAGATTACATAACCATTTTGGCCCCTGGTGCATGTATCATTATTTTTTCAAAGATACTGCCCATTTTATTTAAGGTAATGGCCTCAATGAATTACTGAAATTTCATGAAAATTATTGTATCTGTTTTTGAAAGATCATCATTTTATTTTGGGGGTTAGAAGGGACCCATTTTTTTTTTTTGTAGAATTTTCATATTCATCAGGCACCAACCCATGATGGACAACCGTTCACGCACTAGTGAGGGGCACATCCATACAGACAGTATTGCACAGTATTCATGTGTATGCTGGTGACCCCCTTTTCTGCCATCACCCTTTTTTTTCACAACAGTTGGCCATCCCTTCTGTCCGCCTCTCTATTTCTTCTTATTCGCCCTTCTGACCTCACAGGTTCCCATGTGACTGTTGAAGGTATATCTTCTTGCTTCCAGTTTCAGTCGTTGTTTCTGCCTCCCTGCTGTAGGGTAGTTACCCAGGATGTGGTCTGCGTCCCCACCGGTCCAGCATGTTGGTAGCTGATGGTCTCTTGGTGTGGTAGGGTGGCGACAGCCCACCCAGAAGATTCCTACACTCAACTGCTGGAGCCCAAAGGGCAACAGCCACCACATCCACTATCTTCAGCTTGAGAGTGTGATGGAGGTCCTCACTTAAGTGTTCTCTTGCCCTCCAACAGTACCTGTTGTCTTAGGTCTCTTCCTGTTACCCTGTCAGCAATTGCACAGGCCACTTCCCTACTGATGTGATGTTTGATTGAGTCAACACAGGCAAGGTAGGGCCAAGTGGTCTATTGCAGCAGCAAATATCTGCAGATTCCCTGGCATGCTGGATCCTTCCCAGCTGAGTATGGAATGTTTCTGCGAGGTGGTGGTCCATAGTGATTCTCAAGCACCGCAGCAAACTCTTCATACTTTGTCCCAGTGGGGTCACTGTGTAGAATATGTGTGCAACAGACTTATTCAAGGTGGCTGTCAGATATACGGCTTTGTTGCCGAGTGTCCAGCCGTTGTGTTCCGTCATGAACTTGAACTGTGGTTGGAACACAGCCCATGAGGTCAGTTCGTCAAATTTAGGGGTCTGCGCCAGTTCCTGTTCTTTGGCAAGACCCATGCTCGACCCAGGCTTCAGCTTCTACTACCTTTGCCTTGAGTCCTTGCCAAGTGATATCTGTTAGGTTCTTCATCATCTGTGTCTCGACCTGGATCATGAGGTCTAGCACTTTGTGAAGGTGCTTCCTTGTGTTTGTTATGGTTTCTAAGTGGCTCTTTGTCCATGTATTGAGAGATGTCATTATGGCCTGTGAGCCCACTTGTGTTTTGTCAGTCATTTCAGTCAGTTCCTTGCAGAGGCCCTGCATCTTTTTGTCGACACGCATCAGGACAGCTTCCATGCGATGTTTGATTGTCTCTTCTAACTCACACTGTATGGATTGTATTGCAGTCTCCATCTTCTCTTGGCATATGTTCATCTTAGCTTCCATTTCATCTTGAGTGGACTCTGTCCTGGCTGTGCTGATATCCATCCAGGAGATGAAAGCACCCATTTTTCTTTTCGTTTCTCGACTGGGTTCTGTCTTCTCCTGATTGGCCTCTAACTTGGCTTGGGTGGTTTTAATTTCTTCTTGAAAGGAATCCATCTTCACCAACAGTCATTCCATCATTTGCTCAATTTTTGTTGTGTGGCCATACAAATATCCAATGCAATCTTAAATCTGATCCAGTTAATCCAGTGTGATCCCACTTCTGACACCAATTTGTCACGATTTTAGTGACTGTGGGAAGGGTCTGGATTGGTAATCAGATTTACTGAACTCTTACAACCCAGGTCTTATGCTCCCACTGGTCTAAACACTTCACAAATCACTGTAGGATGCACTAAGTCTTCTCACTCTCTTACATTCTTCACTACCCGTTGCTTGGTAGCAGCTTCCAATGGCAGACATTCCCCTTCCTCTGGGTTCTTGAACTCTTCCTGGCCTCACGTACCGCCTTCCCACAGCAGCAGCTCACAACTGAATGCCAGTGGTTATCAAACTTACTCAGCAACTAACCACTCACTCCAGCTGCTAACTTGTCCTGCTTATAACATCTCAGCACTGACCACACAGAAAACACCATTCCTCCATTGCTGTGTATTTGTTGTATTCATGTCTGCTGGGGTTCTCATGTGATTGCTACTGAGTCATTGCCTAGCAACAGCTGTTGTATAGTTGCTTTTTTCATGGTCATTGCCTAGCAGCAGGTTTGCACACCACAGTATCATTTGAGGCTGCAGTGTCCTGTAAGGTGCCTCTTAGCAGTGATACCTAGTTCTGTTAATGAAGGGCTCCTAAAGGAATCAATTTACAAGTCTTTATCCCAGTGTGGACATCCAGTATTCATAGTGATCTCCATTCATCTGGTTTGTGATGGCCCCTTTGACAGCTTTCACCAAGATCCCACATGCCAGTTCATGCCTTATAAAATGATGCCCAGATCTAGAGTCTACCTTGCAGAAAGTACACTGCATCCCCATTACAAAGACAATTAATGTTAGATTAGTATGAGTTGAGATTCTCACAGCGCTGGTCATGAAAAACACAATCTTCTGATATAACGCTATGTAGGCCATTGAAAGTCAACTGACATTTCGGAGGAATATAACGCCTAAAGGGTCAAATGAGCCAAGCAAGATACCTGCTTTCGTGCTGATATTTTGCTTGGCTTATTTGACCCTGAAGATAGAGGTGATATGTTTATCCAAAACTTTGGCTGACTTTCAAATGTACTACACAGCATTAATGTTGTTTATTGTGAGAATCACACAAAACATGTAAATACATTGTGTGGGCAAAATTCAGAGTGTCTTAATGTTAAAGCATGTGGTACATCATTGACTGAGGCATTCACTCATCCATTTCAGTTATATACACAGTCCAGACTTTTACAGTTACAATCTTTTTTAAGGTTGGCACAACTTTAAACCCTGCTAAAAGTATAATAAAGTAAATTGTTTTGTGGAAGTCTCTTTTTGCAATGTTTAACCAGTATTTCTCTTTTCTAGAATGCTGTGGTCTGTTATTATTCTCACTAATTCACATCCATTGTTTGTTCCAGGCTTTTGTGTGTGTGATAAAATAGTAAAACCTTAACTGCATAAATCTTCCTGTATGAAATAGCTCCATGTTTTATAAATTGGAGGTCATAGCAAGATAGAGTACAATATTTATCTTCCATGATTCTCTAATATGATACAGTAAACCGTCATCTGCTGCAGGGGTTAGGTTCCTTGAGAACGTGTTAGGCAAATCCGTGTGGCACACAATCTTCTTACCGTATGGGTTAAAGGGGGTATGTGAATTTAGTCGTGTAAAGTGTGCCAGTAACATAAAAATGTTCTACGCAAATGAACAGGCCCTGTCTACTGTTAGTTCCTCGGAACTCTAGCCATGGTAGAGGGGTCATACCATCTCTCGCGGAGCTGGGGGAGCAGTCTTATCAGCTTACGTCAGCATGGATACTACCAGTTTGGAATGTAGTGTCTTGGAGTGTGGTCAGGTGTATAGAATGTTGTGTTGCTTGTTAGTTGATACTGGTCATAGCGATTGTATTACGTGGTGTTTGTTTCACTATCATGGCACACTGACAATAGAATGGAACAATTCATGGTGATGCCAGGGCAGTAATAGCTAATGTTTTACGCTCGGGGAGTAGCTCTGAACGTCACCACAGCAAGTGTGCTCCACAACAGTGTTTATCTTTCTGCGCGGCTGAAGTTACGAGGCACTAACTATACTGTATGTGACATAAAAACATAATGAAAGGGTGATGCATGAGGAAGAGATGCACATGCTAGAGCTTGTGCTGGTGTATACAGGACTAGAGCATGTTTGCCAAACAGTGTATATATGTATGTATATTCAAATTTTGTTGGACAGGGGTTTACTGTGTAAGAGTTATGATGTTCACAGTGATGAAGATTCATATTGTGGTTTGGTCACTGCACTCTATGCTTTGGCAAGGACTTTTCTCTTCCACCATTATGTCCAAAGAGGATGAACAACCCACTGAGCATCCTGTCTTTTGGCTACCAAGAGCACTTCGCCAGGTCTCCAACCCACTTGGCCTTCTGTCCTGTGGATACCAAGAACTCTTCACTGTATCTGTGGCTCACTTGCTTCCTGTCCTGTGGATACAAGGATCTCTTCACAGCACCTGTGATTTACTTGGCTTCTTGCCCTGTAGATACCAAGATATCTTCAGTGTATCTGTGGCTCACTTAGCCCCCTGCCATGTGGATACAAATATCTCTTCACAGCACCTGTGACCCACTTGGCTTTCCATTCTGTGGGTATTAGGAGTTCTTAATTATCTGTAAACCATTTGGCCTCCTATGCTGTGGGTAGGAGGGCCTCTTAAGAGGATCTGCAACCCTCAACATTGTATCCTCTGGGTATCTGGGGCCTTTCGCCAGGAATCAGACAGACTGGACATAGCTGCTGGCCACCATCTAGTACTGAAAGATAGAATGTGTGAAGCTTTACCTCCATGTCTTCATACACCTTCTTGGCATGATGCTTAAATGTAAGGGATACTACTGTACATCTATCTTGTATAAATGCCCTTTATGGTTTCAATTGATTTTGTGTAATTTGTCTGTACAGATGCAGGAAAGTCAACTATCGGTGGCCAAATCATGAACCTTACAGGAATGGTAGATAAACGAACACTAGAGAAATATGAGAGAGAAGCGAAAGAGAAGAGCAGAGAGACGTGGTACTTATCGTGGGCATTGGATACTAACCAGGAAGGTGAGACATATGCCGATTGTCACATTACTATCCTCCTGTCTCTCTGATGAAACTGAGAACTTACAGCCATTCAGCTGATCAAGAAATTACCACCTTTTATGGAATTCAGATGTTCATTATCATATTCACATAATCACCACTGCAATCCAATCCTGAGGCAGTTGAATCGTATCAACATTATTTAAGATCAATTTTTAGTAATATTCTCCATCTACATTTATATCTCCCAAGTTGTCTCTGCACTTGAGCATCTGTCTTCCAAGTGCTGTATCATGTAACATTTCATCCTCCAATATTTAATCATCTTAATGCTTGATGAAGCTTCTTCTTATGCAGTTTTCTCCAGCCTCCTATTACTTCGTTCCTCTTTGGTCCAATATTTTCTTCACCACCTTTGTCTCAAACATCTTTAATCTACGTTGTCCATGAGGTTTCCGGTCTAGAAAGCTGAAATTAATGGCCGTGAGGATTCGTTGCCCTGACCACGCGGCACCCTCTATCCGCAAAAGTTGACACTAAACTTCGCCAGCAAACAGCAGTCATTCGGTTGGTATAGTTCACTTGGAGACTAAAATCACAGAGGTTTTTGTCCATGAGGTTTATGGCAGATCAACTGAATTGAGCATAGTTGAGTTGAACCAGTCAACTTGAGATGCTGCAAAGGCAGATCATTTTGTTTGGCATTTGATTCCAGTACACCTGTCACACACCATGAGTTGGGTCAGTTGAAGCCAAGAAGGTCTTTGTAGCTTTATAGTGAGTCAGACTCAATTTGACTTGACTACACAATTCGGTTAGTGTGCCAGTGACCTTAGAGTGAAAAGCCAGATTTTCTATATTGTAAATTGTGCTATCTGCATACTTTATTGTGCCTTGAAAATATGTCCTGAAATTTTAGAGAGTACTCAATCTCCGTGAATGAACGGGCACCACAGACCCAATTTAGCATACAGTTTTCTAGGTGTTGTGTTATGTCATGTCACGTTGGTAAAACTTGATTATACTTTGGAGGAACTATATTCATGAACCATGTGATTGATTCCACTTGGATAGCAGCCTTTATGTCTGTTTCATCCTCTCATGGCTTCACCTCCAACTCATCAATGGCTGCAAGTTCTATAACAAGAGCTGCCCCCCCCCCAAGTCATTAATCCTGAAGATGGCAACTGCAGTGTTTGCCAGAACTTTGGAAAACCAACATCCTATGCAGCACATTCCTGAAGCCAGATGTCATTCAGTTGTAGAGTAGTTGAAACCTTATTAAAATGATGGTTATACGGTTTGTAATAGTGTCAATTCGAGACACCGACTCCCATATCACATGTATGAACACACTGCATAAAGCCCTGACCGGTGTGATGACAGCCCTTCTCGTGACATACAGAGTGTAGAGTTCAGTCCAGTTCACCCTGAGGTGCATCTTACAAGTGTTTGCCTTGCTACACAGCTTGTAGTGGGCCCACTGGAGATCTGAAAGCAAGGCCTAGACTCCAGTCTTCCAAATACAGGTCTTCTTAGAGTGTTATGCCCTATTTTTAAATATTCACATAGATCATATAAAATTATCCCATAACAAACTGAACATGCCTCATGTATCACATGGATATAACAATCTTTGATGTACATTTTTATCAGTAATTAGTAAATGTGTAAAAAATGACTCACTGCAGCTGAGAAATTAGTGTAGTAAGTCCTATTGGTAGTATATTTCATTTCTGTTGTGTGCAAGTAATGATTTAATATTTCAGAACGGGAGAAAGGTAAAACTGTGGAAGTTGGCAGAGCATACTTTGAGACAGAGAGAAAGCATTTCACCATATTGGATGCTCCAGGACATAAGAGCTTCGTACCCAATATGATAGGTGGGGCAGCGCAAGCAGATCTGGCTGTATTGGTGAGACCATTTCTTCATACTAGACTAATATGCTAGGCAAGGCATGTAGCATATACAAGGCAAGGAATTCATACGATATTATAGTAAAAACTCCCGACGTGGAAGTACTACTCTGGAGACCAAGGTGTCGGTGCGAGGGCAGTACTAAGATAGATGTTGAAGGAGGGTGTGAAGATGTAACCTGAATTCACCTGCGATGGATTTGTAGCTCTCATGGCAGCAGCTGTGATGCGATGTGATGCTGTAGTCTGGCAGGAACTCACCACAATTTTGAAGGAATATGCTACCGATAAAATCACTGTGCTAGATTCTTCCTGTTCCTTGCTTCACTTCGTTTTTTACCCTGAAGATGGAAGCAGTATCTTCCTCCAAAATGCCAGTAAACTTCTACCATGCTACACAGCATCATATACCAGAAGCTAGTACTGTGGGATCATGTAGTTCAGAATTTTTTACAGTAATTGACTGCTGTGAACATTGTCAGGTTCCATTAGACACAGAGACTTTCTTGACTGACATTGTGATCTGGCTCCTGTTAGGTTGGTTTATTTTTTGGTACAGTTGTTTGGTTAACCCTTTCAAGCCAAGTGCTCACTATACACTAAAACTCTACATTCTGCCTATAGAGTGTATTTGAGTGTTTCATATGGTTCTAAACAGCTTCAACCGGTTGGTCTTTGTAGCAGAGACATAATGTGTCTGTGATGCAGAAATTGAATTTGTATATATTATTTGGAAGAAATTTTCTCTTTAAAGGTTTAATTAGTGTGTTGTCATCATGTGTAGGACATGAATATAAATTGAGACCATGTTTATTTTGCAAAAGGGGAACTACCTACACATAAGCATTGTTTACATTTTTTGTTTTGTTTTTGGCATGCATTTGTTGTTGCCATTACATGGAGCCACTCTGTTTGAAGACAATTTCTATAAAAGTGGCTTTTTATTCCCACTTATTAATTTGCTACAATTTTTGGTTTCTTTTCATCTTTGTTTTCAGACATAATTGGAATAGCTGAGTCATCATAGTGACTAGGCTATGGACTAGATAACTGAGGAAACAGGGTTTGGTTCCCAGCAGTGGCAAAAGAATTTTCTCTTCCCCACAGTGTACAGACAAGCTCTGGGGTACTCTTAGCCTCATATGAAATGAGTACCAGAGGTTCTTCCTGCAGTGACAAACTGGCTGAAGCATGAAGCTGACCATTCACATCTGTTTAGTGCTAAGGCTAAGAATGTATGTGGCTGTACCTCTCTCAGATATATGTCATCATGACATAATGCCTAATTAAGCAGAGGGACACTTTTACCTTTAGGATTTGAGGTTCTTACAGCAGTGGTTATGAAGAGTTGTATCTGCTGTGATATAACACTGTGTAGTCTTTGAAAGTCAACAGACTACATAGCAAGGTATTCCAGAAGATAGAACCCTTCAATTTTAGCTTTGGCTTGCCCATATGTGTTCCCATTTTGGTGGTCTTGACACTGATCTGTGTGACAAAGTGTAGCTATTTGTAGACTATATGTAGACTTTATTTTTTAAATGACATCTGTATTGTTGCATTCAATGTAACATGCATAAAATGGTAGTCTCAATAATGATGGTTTCTGCTTTGTCAGTATGTTTATGTTCTTACATGATAATTTAATGCATACATTTACATTCTGAATAGTTAAATTGTGTACCCTTGTTGAAGTATGCAGTTGCTGCATTTTGCAGGTGATTTCAGCACGGAAGGGTGAATTTGAAACAGGATTTGACAGAGGTGGCCAGACACGAGAACACGCCATGTTAGCTAAAACAGCAGGTGTGAAGCATCTTGTGGTGCTAGTAAACAAGATGGATGACCCGACAGTAGAGTGGTCAGAAGCACGCTATAACGAGTGTCGAGACAAGATCATGCCCTATCTTCGCAAGCTGGGCTTCAACCCTCAGAAGGACCTCACCTTCATGCCTTGTTCAGGACTCACAGGCCTCGGTCTGAAGGATCCTCTCGATGAGAAGTTGTGCCCATGGTATCAGTAAGTGTCCACTCTTTTTTAAAGCAGTGTTTTTGTGGAACTGACTGTAGATTAAAGAATGTGGTATACTGATTTGTACTGCTATGTAGCTGAGAGGGAGCCCGACAGTTCAGAGAAATATTGCCTTTATCTTAAGGTGTAAGAGTAATCCAGTCAAGATGCTGGCAGAAGCATGTGGCAAGTTGCCATTGGGGGTACCTCAAATTCCATATGATTAGAGTCTTCTCCATATATCATTCGATGCCACTTGCTAGGATGGTACTCCTCAACTATTCCTTTTAGTTAAAAAAAAAAGAATAAGAAGAAAGTAAAGCTATCCCTGTACCAGGCCGAGAGGGCCCATAGGGTTGTGAGACGTTGAGGGTCCCACATTATCTAGACAATTGGTCCAAAGATGGCGGTAAGGTTGTCAGCCTTACGTGCCGGTTGCACTTTACTCCCCAGGAAAATTATTCAATTAATTCCTGGTACTCATTTCTGTTAAAGGCTGAGTCAACCCCAGGGCCATAGTGCAGCTGGAAGGATTATGTCAATTGAAAAAAAGCCAATGACCTCATCGGGACTTGAATCTGTGCCCTCCCAGCTTGTAGCATAGCCCCTCAAGATGTTATTCTTATAGTGTGGGGTGATCTGAGTTCTTTGGTACCTCGGCTGTAAATGGACCATGTACAGTTGATAAGTGAGAGAACTGGAGCATTGACAGAATGAGAATTTGTAGGAGAAACTGAGTACTTAGAGAGAAATCCTGCCCCATTGCCATTTTATCCACCACAAATTTCACATTGCCCCAATACAGAGCTTCGGTTGCTACAGTGAAAAGCTGGCCATTATGCACCTGAACTGTGTAACATTGCCCTTTGAGCTGTGCCAAAACTTATGGAAACCGTTTTGTGTGGCATATTATAAATGCCTTTGTCTGAAAAGTTATCTTTGTGAGTCAATCATTATTAGTTCACAGCAAGAAGTATAAGAAAAAGAAACAGAGAACTCTAAATTCTTTACTCCTAGTCTACTGAAGTTTAGTTTCAAGGCAGTGTGAGGTTATGATAATGTGTTATTAGGTTTAGCTTGACACGCATGGTAGTTGTAGGTAGATTATCATCTAAACCCAAAGTTCTGAGAGAAACCTCCCAGGTACCTCCTATATTCCCATGTGAAGTGCTATTTGATTGAATACAGGCCTCATTAAAAAAGCCATTCTTGCTGTCTCAAAAGTCAGAGTGTCTTTTATAACATCTTGTTCTCGTAATATTTCTGAATGAATAATATACTGTCAGCAAATTTGTCTTTGAGGTTTGAAGTTCTCACATCGGAGTCAAGATTACGGTCTAACGGGATGTGATGTCTTGTGGTCTGATAATTGCATACTCATCTACCAGACTATACAGCATCACTTCCCAGAATATTGTTATCTTGAAACTTGTCTCTGAGATGTGTGAGGTTTGAGGTTCTCATGGTAGAAACTGTGAAGATTGGCTTCTGGGATTGTGACACCTTGTGGTTCAGTAGACAGGTTCATTACCACAACATATTTGAGGTACCCTGAAGATGGAGGCAGTATATTCATCAAAAATCTCGGTAACAATTTACCAGACTATACCGAGGCTTTGATCTTGTATTTGGCAGCTATCCATTGTGGTTTTTGGAATTAGAAGTGTCTGAGTCTTAATAATTTTTTTCAGAGGCGATGCGTTTATTCCCTTCATTGATAAACTTCCATCACTGAACCGCAAGATGGGAGGTCCATTTGTAATGCCTGTAGTGGATAAATACAAAGACATGGGAATGGTAGTCATGGGGAAGGTAGAGGCTGGTGAAGCCAAGAAAGGCCAATCATTACTTCTTATGCCTAATAGGGTGAGTGGTATCATATTGTGTGCACCTGTTAAAGTGTGTTTAAAACAGCTTTGAGGGTGTGTCATGATCAGATATAGATGCAGATCATAATGCCATCTCTAGAAAGTTACTGGATTCTTATTTTGAACTGAGGATGGCAACCAGAATGACCATACCAAAGATCCTGTTGATCATGCAGGACTTTCTTTAGTGAGGTTGCTTACTCAAGATATAACATACCCACAAAGACATTTTGAACATACTTTTTATAAAGGTTAAAGTAGAGAAAAAGTTATTTATTTTCACTTTAGTTTTAGTGAATTTATTGAATAATTTTTAAAGAGAGTAAAGAACTCTCACTGTATTTAACATAAACAATTTACCAGAATTTATTTTGAATGTTTATGCATTACTACGCTCTTGTCTAACAAGCAGTTGGAAAGTCTCAAGATTAACTAGGCACTCTGGGGATTAAGTAACTGTCATGACATTTATACGGGAGGTGGAGAATGTGAGCATTCACAACATCAGAACATTCTGTAAGTCGCCATTAAGTGAAGTGATGAAATATACCAAACTCATTGGTCTAGTGGCAACACCCTAAATTTATGTCCCATAGGTTGTTGGTTGAAAACTCAACTGGGACACCAGTTATCCTGACTGAGGTTTTTCATGGTTTTCCTTAGTCCCTCTAAGCAAATGCCAGAATAGTACCTGAATTAGGTCATGGCTGCTTCCAGGCCCTTTCTGATTCGTTAGTCATCCAGCAATTCAATACTGTATATAGATAATAGCAGTGTTGTAAAATAAATCACAGACTACATGATGAAACAGGTAAGTCAGCAAGTCATGTGGAAGTTTGAATGTGTCGTTTGTTTGTTTAGACCGTGGTGCTTGTAGATCAGATGTGGTCAGATGATGAAGAGGTCACAGCGGTAGGACCTGGTGAAAACGTAAAGATCAAGCTAAAAGGAATCGAAGATGATGATGTTTCACCAGGTTTTGTGCTATGCGATAATGCTAATCCTATTAAGACTGGCCGAGTATTCGATGCTCAGGTAAGAAAAGTTATTTTCTTCTCTTAGCGTTACCTGTGTTTTATACATCTCTCATGTGTGTCTGTTTTTCCCTCTCTTTCTTGTGGGGACAAACAGTATATGTGACATTAACTTTTTGAATCATTTTAATTGCCTAGAAAAAATTTTATCATTTATCATCAAAACATTAAATTCAGAATTTTGAACTACCATTATGTATAGTTTGATCACAATTCTTTCTTGTCCACAGTGTGTATCTACATAATTTCCATTTTTCTGTGTGAATGATTTTATTTTATGTTTTCTTTTCTTTGTCTTTGGATTGGGAATTGTCCTTACAGTATATATTTGCTTCATCAGGTTGTGATTCTGGAACATAAGAGTATAATATGTGCCGGATATTCAGCTGTGATGCATATCCATTGTGCAGCTGAAGAAGTGACGGTCAAAGTAAGTACTGAATTTTCTTTTACACTCTCTATTTCATATCTACATATCAGATCTTAGGTAAAAGTAAAAAGGTAGAGCTGTTCCTGTACTTAATTATACACCATGCCATGAAGTTGCATGGTAGTCAAGATTTGGCTCCATGCATTCTTAACGTTGGCAGTAGATGGGAGTTATCAGACATGTCCGTAACACAGCCACTTTGTCCTTGGGAATAGAGGCCCTACTACGTGCTGGATAGAGAGCTAAGTTGGCCCCTGAATTAGTCTGGAGACTATGGAGAGAAGAGAAATCTCTGCCCCTGTTGAGAATCAAACCCAATTTCTCAGTTGGTGATTCAGAGGCCTAATCAGTACAGTGAATGATCCACCCAATGTAAAGGTAAAACAGGCCATGGAGGCCCATAGGGTTGTGAGAGGTTGAGGCTCCCACGTTTTCTAGACAGTCGGCTCACAGACAGCAGTGAGGTTGTCAGCCTTACAAGCCAGCTGCCCTTTAGCCCCCAGGAATATTTGTGGTACTCATTTCTCTTAGAGGCAGAGTCAACCCAAGGACCATAGTGCAGCTAGACGGATTAGGTCAATTGAAAAATCCAGTGACCTCATCTGGAATTGAACCCATGACCTTCCAGCTTGTATCATAGTGCTTCAGCCACCTACACCTCCGTGTGCTCGTTTACTCAATATGCTTACAATTTATTCTGTAAGTTGCTGTCTTCATGAAATTTTGAACTGTACTTTAACCCATACTCACCCCCAACTAGTGCCGAGGTCAAGAAAATGTGGGCCTATACATTCACTCCCCATCATCTTTGTGGCATGGTGTTTAATTATTTAAGCACAGGGGCAACTGTTTTTTACTTTAACCCCACGTGTGTATTTAGATAGCCTACTGCTGTGACTAAAGATACTGAGTAACTGCAAAGATTACACATAATTATAAACATATTTCAAGACTGTCCACCTCAGTAATGCCTAAAAGAGCCCTTCTTTTCCATTACACTGCACAATCATGTATCATAGTTCATAAATCATACAGTAAAGGCATGGGATACACCACAGAAGCTAATGTTTGTAAACAGACTGTATTCAGGGTGTTTTCGCCTTACTGTAATGGCACAGTGGACTCCTGATTATTTTGCAGATTTAGAGCCCCCTACTAATTATAGCTTCCTGTAATGATGTAAGAGCTGCCTGTTACATCTGTATGAGTAATGTGCAGTAATTTTTCCCCTGTTGCAGCTTTCTACTATATTATTGTATTCCTTTTTGCGTCATACTACTAGCAATGTAAATGTCTGCTTTTCTCTCTCTCTCTCTCGTGGAAAGATACTTGTCTCACTGTTTAGTGTCTAGTAGTGTTGCTAGTAAGTCATAAACAATTGATTGCCAGGGTTGAATGCAGTATATACAGTGAGCATTTCCAGATTTTTGTATTATTCACACTGCTTCTCCCTTCTCTTACCACTGATAATCAAGAGCTCATTCTAACTTCATGGTGAATGATATGTATTGAGGTGAATGTTGGAACTAACTTGTGCTGATGAATGTTTCAGGCCTTAATCTGCCTGGTAGATAAGAAGACTGGTGACAAATCGAAGACACGACCTCGTTTTGTAAAACAAGACCAAGTTGCGATCATGAGGGTGGAATGTGCGGGCGTGATCTGTATGGAACAGTTTAAATTATTTCCACAGATGGGAAGATTCACACTTAGAGATGAAGGTAATTCACTACTTTGTGAAGAAATATGTTTCTGAATATTGTATTTTCTAATACTGTATAGATTTTACAAACTTGAACTGTCTCTCTTGACTCTGTGTCAGGATCATTTCATAAATTAGGTACAGGGCTTGGTCTAAGAACTGAAAGCTGAAAATAATAACAGACATGATATGAAATCTAAAGTATGGTCTGATTATCATACATCTTTCCATGAACTGTTGAGCTAATCAGGCAGAAGATCTGGATGACTAGTCCTCAGGCCTCAGAAATTTTCTTTTGTTTTGAAAGAACATGGCTGAATATGTAAGAGATTAACATGCACTTATGGCACGCAGTAGCATGGTTGAGGCACTGTGCTACAAACTGGAAGGTCACAGGTTCGATTCTCTATGAGGTCATTGGATTTTTCAGTTGACGTGATCCTTCCAGCTGCTCTGTGGTCCTTAGGTCGAATCAGCCTCTAACATAAATAAGTACCAGGAATATTCCTGGCGGTAAAGGATGTCCAGTGCATAAGGCTGACAAATACACTGCCATCTGTCAGCCGATTATTTGTAGAAAATGTGGGAACCCTGACATCTGACAACCCTATGGGCCTCCATGGCCCGTTACTGGGATAGCTTTACCTTTTTACCTTTAATTAATTGTTCAACAGGCCTAGTAAACAGACTGTAGAAGTGAGAGTTCACTTGTTAGGTCACACACACTTTCTTTTCCTTGTATCAGAATTGAGAGGGAAGTAAGTCAGAATCTTTGTGGTTTGTTTTAAAATGTCTCTTGACATTATGCTGTTTTGTTTTCTGAAACTGTAGTGTGGTGCAACAAACTCACAGACTTTCCCTTACCGCAGGCAAAACAAAACTTTTTCTCCCATTCACTGTTGAAATTGTATGTTTCTGTTTTTAGCATATTCTGGGTCACAACAGTAAGGTAACACTGACATAAAATACAACTAATATTACCAAGACTCACACTTAACTTTAAATAAAAACTTTGTGCCTGATAATACCATTTTTAAGAAGTGGTTTGCAACAGTGAAAAAATCCTAATGGGCACCCAAAAATCCTTTTGTAAGTACTGAGGTGCCTGTGGGTGTATGGTCAGCTATCATTTTTGTGGCATAACAGATTGCTAATAGAACTTACCCAGATTACTGCAGGTGCTGGAAATGCAGTTGTTTTGCAAGTGCTCCTAGCACCTCTGTGAAATGTTTACATTCGTACATTGAAATCCATTTCTGGAAGTAAAGTAAACTTAAAACCCTGTCTCTTGTGCGAGATGTTTATGGGTTTTTGGAGAAGAGTGTTTAAAACTAGCACAGATTTCATTCAATATCTGTTCAGTCACCAAATGGCATTTTGTGGGATCCACTAAAAATCCAGATCCCTGCAACCTGACAGTACAGGAGTCACATACAACTGTTCAATTTGTGTGAATCCCCAAGGGGTTCACATTGTATATCTACATATAAGGTGTATCAGAAAGTTCACGGACTTGGTCAAAGAAGAAACGCTGACTTAACTGACTCAATTTTGGCTGCCATCTCCTTGGGAATGGATACAATGATCCCATTGTTTTTTTCCATGCTTCAAAAGCACAGTGGAAATCATTGTCCTTAATGCTGTCAAGTAAAGCTTGCAATAAATACCCTATGGATGTTAGACACTGTTCCAAAATGTTCCCTTCTGTTTAATTTTCAATGTGGGAAACAAAGCAAAATCACAGGGAGCTTAGTCCGGTTAGTAGGGAGGATGGGGAATTATAAGCATGTTGTTGTTAGTCACAAACTCTGTGGTTTACAGAGACGTGTATGGGCATGTTGTCTTGATGAGGGAGCAGTGTGGTGTATGTTCAAATTTGCTGTTAAGATCTCCTGACAAACTCCATCACTGATCCCAATGGCATCTGCAAGCTCATGGATTGTTCGGCAACGGTCTTCATGAATGACATCTCAAATTTTTTTCAACACTTTCTTTCGTTTTGCTGTTGCTTGGTCGCCCAGAATACTCGTCATCTTTAACTGACACTCAACTGGCCTTGAAACATAAATGCCATTCAAAAACCACCGTCCAGCTTAAAGAATGTTCTCCAAAAGCCTCATGAAGCATGTCAGGGGTTTTCAGTAGCAAAACTTGATGCAGACACATCGCTCAGTTTTGTCATCCATCTCAGACAAAATGAAACACAAAGTCAGAAAGCACTCGTGTAAAAACAATGCGTGTTCACAGTGTGGTGTCACATGGCAGACTGATGCAGTGGGCTTTTGGAAGTGTGACCTTGGCATCCCCTCTCATTGTCTTTCACCAAGGCAGTTACAACAATAACAGTCCAGGAACTTTCCAATACCACCATGCAGGTCATTCAGAAAGTAAAGACTGTTTACTGTTTAAAAAAATGAATAAAATTAAAATTTTACTTTATGTCATTACTACAGACCTTAAATCGTTTTTCTACATAATCCCCATGAAGGTTCAGGTACTTGTCATGTCGTGCGATGAGTTTCTATATGCCTACATTGTAGAAAACTGCCACCAGTCCATTGAACCGGTTTTTAACTGTCACTTTTTCATTTCTATGCATGCGTGTGCCACCCAAAAACTGCTTCAGGTGTGTGAACAAGTGAAAATCACTTGGAGCTAGGTCTGGACTGTAGGGAGGAAGGGAAAAAAAAAGCCCCAGGCTAAGTCAGCAAGTAGTGCACGTGTGTTGGCAGTCCTTACTTTCTGGATGACCCTTGTATTTTGTTAAATCATGATTATTGTATTCAGCTGTTTCTAACATTTAATTTTTTGATAATTGAACAGCACCAGAATGGGAAATTATAATAAATTAAAGATTATTATGTTCTCTACATTATATGCAGAAGGAAACAGTGGACCAGAGGTATGAGAAAAAGCAGTGGGAACCAATTACCTGTTTATGTTCGCATTGTGTTCTGCAGCACCTGGCTATATTCTCTTTTCTTTTTCTGCTTGCAGGTAAAACAATCGCTATAGGTAAGGTGTTGAAAGTTATCGAGTAAAATTTGTTGCTTTTCATTTGGCCGATAAATTAAAATGAGAAAGAAGACAGTTTTCCATCAGAACCTACTACTATAAGTGGCAGAGCATCTGGAGAAGAATGGTATAGAACAAACAACATCCAAATATACCATCCATATAATGCTTGATTGGAGAATATGTCAGGTGCTTTCCATTCACAGCTGGAGGTGTGTCTAAGGAGATGTGAAGGGTGCATGAGTGTGTATGCCTGTATATAATGGGATAACTGGTGAGAAAGTGCAAGAATGATCTATATCAGGGCTAACCTTCCACTGAACGCTCAAAGCTATGTCACCCAAACTTGTACCAAATGAGATGTCACCTTGTTTATACAATTGCAATAGCCAGTCACTACTAATGTAGTTTATTAAATAAGGTTTGATAAAAACCTTGCTGAGACATGGGGATGAATGTATTTACATAGTGCGTTATGGTAGAAACCATCCCCAGATGTACAGTATTGGATGGTCATCAATTGCAACTGTAGGCATGAGTGATGTGTCCAAGTTTGTGGCAGTGCTACCAACCCTATAATGATCTGTTGTTTCTCGTGGAGGAGGAGTCAATGAAATTAGCCCTGAAGGCAGTAGGCAGTTATCAGGACAATTCTAACTGTTCCAGCGCACATGCCCTCCAGCTAAAGTATATTACAACTCTTTGGTTGCAACATTTAATCGCTCTTCATGACACAGATGACTCTTATAAGTTGATACTCTTCTGAAAGCAAAATGTGGAAAAATAGTGTGTAACGAAGATTGCAAATATTATCAGGTAACTTTTATGACAAATTGTGGGGAAGAGATGTTTTCATTTGTTTTACTGGTAGAGACTTTGCCAAAGGAAATGAAATTTAAGAATTGTGTGCACCTTTGGATTGGTTGCTTTGCTACAAATTGAAATGGTTGTCCTCTATCCCACACCCTCCCTCTTCGCGATGTAATTGACAGCTTTCAGTGTACTGATGCACACGTTAACGAGGCTTCGGCAGAGATGTGCCTCAATGAAGTGAGTTCTCTTTTTGGTAATGTCTATACTACTGGGATATTGTTGTTTATAAATATGTTAACTTTAAAGGTTAGGGGATAATTTTATATAAGCAAAGACATACCATTGTTTTCAGTTAATGTAAATAACGACTATTGTGAATTTGTACTCCTACTTGAAAACTTGCAGAGGATCCAAACATACCATAATACATTGTTTTAAATACAGTTTTTTGAGTTTAGATCTGAATATAGAATTGTATTTTGATTGGTATATGATATTATTTTGAAAACTGCCAATGGTCAGGAAGTATGTCCATTGTCCACGAGATGCTGGTACATGGTTTCTCTTTGCCTTTTTATAAGCCGCTTCAGGAGATGCCCATGTGTGGTGTTTTCTTGATTACAAGAGATTTTCACATTACAATAAAGGAAGATAAAAAGTATCATGTGGCTTCTGTAATGCATCTCTCTCTTTGTAAAACCTGAAACCACATTTTGTTTTCACTCTGTCCATCATACCTAATCCTTCCAGTTATCATATGAAACTATATATAAATCTGAATAAAGCTTGCATATCTTTCCAATCCCATTATGAGTAATTCCTTGTTTACAAATTACTGAAAATTTCCAGATTGTGATAGCTTGGTAACCTGAAGTCCATTATTGTACCAGTTCACAAGAAGGGTATAATAATTATCGCCAGATATCACTGCTATCAACTTCATATAAAATTTTGTCCAATATTCTTCTCTCAAGTTTAAGTCCATACATAGATGAAATTATTGGGGATCGTCAATGTGGGTTTCAATGTAACAGATCAACTACCGATTAGATCTTTTGCATTCGTCAGATACTGGAGATAAAATGGGACTACAGTGAGACAGTACATCAGCTATTCATAGACTTTAAGAAAGCCTATGATTCAGTTAGAAGGGAAGTATTGTACGATGTTCAGATGGAGTTTAGGATACCCATGAAACTAGTCAGGCTGTTTAAAATGTGTTTAAACGAAGTGTATGGTAAAGTCCATATAGGTAAACATTTGTCTAATAATTTTCCTATCCAGAATAGTCTAAAACAAGGAGATGCTTTAGCACTGCTGCTTTTCCACTTTGCTTTAGAATATGCCATTAGGAAGATTGAAGAAAACCAGGTGGGTCTGAAATTAAATTGGACACATCAGCTGTAGGTCTGTGCTGATGATGTGAATGTACAGGGTGATAATATAGATACCATAAAGAGAAACAAATTCTAATTGACACTAGTATAGAGGTTAGTCTAGAAATAGACATAAAGAAAACTAAGTGTATGTTACTGTCTCATCACCAAAAAGCAGGGCAAAATCATGACATAAAGATAGGTAACAGATGTTTTGAAACTGTGACATACTTCAAATATTTTGGAACGACTGTAACAAATCAAAACCTGATTCAGGAGGAAATTAAGACGGGATAAACCTCAGATAATGCTTGCTACCATTCAGTTCAGAACCTTTTGTCTTCTCGCCTACTGTCTAAAAACATAAAAATTAGAATATGCAGAACTATAATTTTGCCTGTGGTTCTGTATGGGTGTGAAACTTGATCTCTGACTTTAAGGGACGAACATAGACTGAGGGTGTTTGAGAATGGTGTTGAGGAGAATATTTGAACTGAAGAGAGATGAAGTGACAGGAGGTTGGAGAAAACAGCATAATGACAAGCTTCATAACTTGTTCTCTTTTCCAAGTATAATTAGAATGATCAAGTCGAAGAGGATGAGATGGGCAGGGCATGTAGCACGAATGGGGAAGAAAAGAAATGCATATAAGATATTAAGATATTGGTGGGAAAGCCGGAAGAATGGAGACCACTGGGAAGACCAAAGGCTTAGGTGGGTGGACAATATTAAAATGGATCTTAAGAGTCTGGGTTTCATTTTACGACCGACGGTCAGTCGGCCAGCCTGTTTTTTTTGGGTGGGGGGTGGGGTGGCAGAGCACCCTCACTGAGCTCACTGACTTGAGGACGTATCTGTCTTTTGTATATGCTGCTGGTCCCTGGCAGCGCAGTCTTTCTCGGGTCCGAGTCCCTTGGTACTGGAGACCATATTATACTGTCTCAATTTTGAGAACTGTCTGTCTGGTACATTCAAACACCTTAAATAAATCTTATGTGTACTGCTTATGGAACACCTTTCTCAGCAGTTAGGTTTTCCCGTTGTTATGCAACGCTTCGAACATTTCGTTGTAACCGTGGAAACTCACAGCTCAGAGAATTCCAATGCTGCATTTTATTCCGCTGTTTAGGAAACGATATCCGTTAACCAGCAACGAACGTTGAAATACGCTCCATAGTCCTGCTTTTAGGTAGCACGGCATAATATTAATAATATTGGTAATTCGTGGCTGTAAGCAACAAGAAAGAAACTCACGGATAGTATATAAGATACCGGACATCCGCTAGCATTTTGTTGCTGTGTTGTTCTTTTTGCGCATGCGTAAGGAAGAAGTGCAGTTGGTTGGGTAACACGTATTTTTCGGTTAAGTAGGTGGAAAAGTACTAAAGTGGTATCGAACTTGGGTAAAATGACTGCACACGATCAAATCAGGGCCATGTTGGACCAACTGATGGGAACAGGACGGAATGGTGAGTGTATGCAACATTTTCTTACATGTTTCATGGTTAAATTCGGTTTCATTGTCTGGTATATTTTAAAGCTGAAATTGTTACGGTCGTTCAACAAAATGGCGTAAAGTTGTGACGTACTATGAGGATCTTATCATGCCCTAGTTACGGTAAATATTTTCTGTATTCTTTTATGAGATAATGACAGAAATTGCAGTTGACAAAGCAGTGATAATTTTTGTGAATAGATATGTGTTGAAGTCCGTAGTTATTAAAGTTAGCATAATCAATTTTCATAACTTTTATTTACTGGGATATTTTTCAAACTGCTTTATGTAAGTGATTAATGAGGTGTGTTTAATTTGGTTTAACTTTGGGTTCAGATCTATGAAGCATTAAAAAAAACAATGTTTATGTAATTGTTGTGAGTCGCTGCCGGTAAATAGAGGACCATAAGTTACATATGTGTTGGGACAGGTGTTTTATTAAGAGCTAAAGCCACGTTCCTGGTTTCATTCTAGGGGGGCTTCCGGTCTTTAGACAAGTATTGAGAGTTAAAGCCAGCTGAGAGCAGTTCACGTGTGTATTAACTTGTGGTATTTTTCCTTCTTTTCCAATTGCATTTTGGCTGATAGTAGATTGTGATTAACTCTGCTTGAGGATTAGTATTATAGTTAAATATAATATTTGTTTTATGTAACTGACAGGTGCAGAATATTTAAATATTTTATTATCCTGATCAGTGAGTCGGGATAGTGCAGTCGTTATAGTGACTGGCTACAGGCTGGATGACCAAGGGGTTGGAGTTTGAGTCCCGGTAGGATCTTCTCCACGTTATCCAGACTGGCTCTGGGAACCGTCTAGTCTCCAGTGGGAACTGGGGTCTCTTTCCCGGGGGGGGGGATGGTAAAGCTCCGAGGACATGAAGCTGACCACTCAGTTCCAGCTAGTGCTGAGAACAAGAAAGTGTGGATCTATACATCCACTCTCCCATACGCCTTCATGGTGTAGTGCTTAATTGGCGAGACATTTGTCTGCAGCAAAGAATATTGTATACATTAATTACAGTTCATGATTTATCGGAAGAGTTGAGACCTTGGTATTTTTTAATTCTAATGATGATTGTTTGTCAACATGACATGAAGAAGGTTCCTTCTGGACCTCCTGGCTCAGAACTAGCAATTTATTCTTTATGAATTATGGCACCATAAATACAGTGTGTTCTACCGTAGAGGAAACCTGAAAGCATTGTAGAGTGGATGGAACACTACTGTGCCCTTCCCCGCTAGTGAGAGTGCAGTCGTGTTGCTGATTTCCTCGCATCAGTTTCTGAACATGCACACATTTATAAGAACACTGTAAAAAGATAACACAAACTTACCATGCTTATAACAGGCGCTGAAAATGACCCCCTTCTGCTTGCAAACATGCCTCACATCTCATAAATAAATTATGCAACACTTTCTGAAGTTGGTCTGTTGCAATTGAACCAGTTACACGTGTTATTTCATTCTGCAGAGCTTCAGTGGTGTGAGGATTATTCTTGTAGATTTTCCCTTTAGGTTTCCCCAAAGATAAAAATTGGAAAGCTGAGATCTGGGAGGACACAGTCCACTGCTTATTGTTATGTCTTTACCCATTTCCTATATTGTGACCGTGGTTGCATTAGCCATATGTGCTGTAGTGGTGTCTTGCTGAAAATACCCATTTTGTCTTTCATCAGCAATCATCTAATTGAAGAATGGATTCATTATATCAGTAATGTAGCGGTCAGAGTTTGTGGTTTCGTGGAAAAATAAGGGGCCATTGATTAGCTGCGGACTTACAGAACACCACACCCCCATCTTTTCACTATGTACTGACACTTGCTGTATAACGTGAGGATTTTCATCTCATCATATTCTTACATTGTGCATTGACAGGGCCACTAACATGAAACCACGCTTCATGAGTCATGAACAGAAGCTGTGGATCCATGATTCCATTGTGCACGTTTTCCGGCAGCCAGTTACAAAAACGAATTCTTGCTGCATAATCTGGTTGTTTCAGCTCATGCACAACTGTAATTTTATACAGGCAAAATTTGATTGATTTTGTGACTGTGAAACAGATCCTAGTGAAACACTGGTTTCCTATGCTAAGCATCTTAACAGTTTTTGAGGGCTGATCTGTAGTTGTGCCTTAATGTCCCAAACCTTTTCTTCAGTCAGCTCAGTCTTCTTTTATTTATTCTTTATGTCACACACTGAACCTGTGGCCTGCCACTTCTTCACAAGTTTGGATACACACGACTTTGTGGTAACTTGCGAGTCAGGATATTTAGGATGAAACTTACAGATACATTTAGGGCCGCACCATAGCTCAAGCGGTTAGTTGCTGGCTTGGCACCACGGCGGCCCAGGTTTGATCCTGGGTCTGGTCAAGTGGGATTTGTGGTGGACAACGTGGCGCTGTGGCAGGTTTTCTCCGAGTACTTCGGTTTCCCCTGCCAATCTTCATTCCACCAATTTCTCCAAAATCGCCATCACCTGGGGCTGGTACAATAGGCCAGAAGTGGCCGTAGTACAAGGGATTAGTCCCACCCCACTAGCAATAAAAAAATACAGATACATTTTCTCTTAAGTTTTTCCTTGCAAAAGTTTCAACAATGAACATTTGCTATTCAGTAGTGAACTTCATTGCAGTATAAATGTCGACCATCAATTGACACCCCTAACAAAGACCGACTATTAATGCAACTTACTGCAGTGACAAGATCAGACCACCTGACCATCTTTGATGCCCCTAACAAAGACCGACTATTAACGCAACTTACTGCAGTGACAAGATCAGACCACCTGACAGTGCATGTTTATCAGTGCTAATGACTCATTCTGCTATCGGCAGAGGAATGTTGTGTCCGCTCTACGCTGCTGCCAGGTTTCGTCTGTCATTGAACACCCATTATTTTGAAGTGTTACTTATAACCTGCAAGTTTGCCTACAATAAGCAAATACTGACAGTGTTGCCAATCTGTGGGTAGGCAAAATGCAAGACTTCTTCTAATGCACCTGCATATTCATACCTATATACTTTTAATATAACCTATTTTCTTGGAATATCAGAAGGGAGAACAGGGATAATAGCATTACAGAACTGGACTATTTCTCTCTCATTCTATGAGAGGCACTCAAATGAAAACGGGTCAGAAGCCAAAACATATTAAAGAATATTTCTTACCTCAAAAGTAATCTCCAAAACTGTTAATACATTGATCCCACTGGGATATAAGATGGTCAGTCCCATCCTTGAAAAAGCTTGTGGGCTGTCTACGGAACCACATCTTTACCCAGCCACACACGTCTTTGTCCGATGCAACCAGTGTCCATGAATGTCTTTTCAGGTCTCCAAGAATGCGAAAATCACATGAGAGATCTGGGCTGTAAGGGGGATGTTGAAGCACTTCCCAACCAAATCACTGTAGCATATTCCTCACAGAGTTGGCATTTGGGGTGGGGGGGCGTGGATTGTCATGAAGAAGGATAATGCCGTTCGATAGCATTCCAGGGCTTTTTGGCTTTATGGCATGTCTCAGTTTCTGCAAAGTGTCTTCATAGCGCTGTGTACTGATTGTGGCCCCACGCTTGCGAAATTCAACAAGCTGAGGGCCCTTGCAGTCGAAGAAGAATGTCATCATCACATTACCAGAACTTGTGTGTATATGTAAGATTTGAGGCTTTCACGGCGGTGACTATGAAGAAAGCAGTTTTTTTGGGATTTGGCACCGTGTATATGTGGTGTTAACCGACGTTTCGGAGGAACGTATCGCCTCCATCTTCAGGGTAGAAGGAAAAAATATAAGAAAGCCGCAGGCAAAGAGACCGTGAGAACCGGTAAAAGCAGACTGGTTCTCACGGTCTCTTCGCTTGCGGATTTCTTATATTTTTTCCTTCTGCCCTGAAGATGGAGGCGATACGTTCCTCCTAAACGTTGGTTAACACCACATATACACGGTGCCAAATTCCAGAAGACTGCTTTCTTCTTGTGTGTATATCTTTGGATTTCTTTGGTGGGAGAGAATTCACGTGTTTCCACTGCTGGCTCTGCTGTTTGCTCTTGGGTTCAAAATGGTGGCATCAAGTTTCGTCCCCAGTGGCAGTACGGGACAGAAAAGCATACCCTTCCTCATGGTATCGTTGCAAGTGTCCCAGTGATGCAGCTATTCTCTGAGTCTTCTGTTCCTCTTTTAAGTTGATGTGGAACCCACTGTGCAGAGGTTTTGTGGTACAGCAGGTGTTTTGTCAGAGTGGTGTGTACGGAGCTGTGACTTATTCCCATCAAGAGACTAATTTCTTCCACAGTGACCATCGGTTTGCCTGGATATGACCATCCAGTGCAGCAATAACATGAGGAGTGATGACATGATGGGCCTGTCCTGGGCAAGCATCATTTTGCAGTGACACACGTCCCTCTCGGAATCTCTCATGCCATCCCAGCATATGCGAACATAACATGCTGTGTTCGCTGTAAGCAACAGACATGTGGCGATGAATTTCTCATCCTCCTACTCCTTCAGCAGTCAAAAAGTTCACTACACTTTGCTGTTCTTCTTTACACGCCTCCTTTACTGATGTTGGATGACGACATGTAATGCTAACCTTACTTCCAGCACAGTGAACAAACGACTAGTGTGCAAGGGCACATTGTCACTGTGCTTTCCCAAGTCCCCACCAGATGTTCGTACCATAAACAAATTTCAGTGTTACCAACTTGCGTGCTGTGTGAGTTATGTGTGGTGACCCGTTTTCATTTGACTGCCCTTATAATATACTTTTATTGATATGTTGCTTCGTTTGTTGTTTTTCATCAGTAATGTGTCTGGCATAACATAGCAGAGGCATGCTGTAATGTGGTTTTATGTAGCCTGGAGTTTGGTATAAAATGGGTTTGCTTTAAGGGACTGCACTGTATAAGGATATGTTTGTCTGAAGAAGTATTGCTGCATAGCTAATGAAGTTATCCCCGTGTACCTAATTAGCACATGACATGGAGAGAGATGCCAAGCAGTGATAGTATTACAGCTGTTTAAATGTGTAATGTCCTCAGACAAAAGGGGAATTATTTAAATGCTGCAGTCTTTCAGCGAAAGTTTTATGTACATGTTTGTAACTGTCTTGATATGTGTTAATGTTGTAATGTACAGGGTCTGACAGTTGAAAACTTCAGGCACGTAAAAGAAATTGCATTGAAATTAATCGACTTGGATGAATGAATAAATGAATGAATGAATGTATAAGGGGTGGGCCTTCTCGGCCCTTGCACCGCGACCTACAATGGTCTATTTTGCTTCCCCTTTTGATTATCCCCTCAGCAATCCTGCGCTTCGAATGAAGCGCAGGATTTTGTACGTGGGGTCGTCGAAATAGTCACTTGGTTTCATAAAGTATTGACCTAAGTGACGTAATCTTAAATAAGCTAAAGCCTCACATTCACACAGGATATGTGTGGCCGTATCATTTTCTTCTTGACACCTCTCATAAGTGGGACTTTCACTTAGTCCCAGTTTGAAGAGGTGTCCTGTATGTAGTCCCACTACCCATTGTAGCTGGTTCCTGTGTAACTTCAACAGTTCCTTCACTCTTTTAGCAGAGGGTCCTCGTATGAGTCCCTTTGCTTGCCCGAGTCCAGTCAAGGATCCCCAGTATTAATCGACTTTGTACATGCAATCCAACATTGATGGACCCCCCCTCCCCCAAAAAAAATAAACAAACAAACTGAATCACAGCAACAGTTTCTCTTCCATCTGGGAAAATTTATAAAGCTTTCTACTTGCAGATATCTCTTATCATGTTATGCATTACTGTGGATGGTGTTCAGTTATGGTGGTATTTATGTAATAACATTGATGCATCATGTATCAGTGCTGTGGCATCACTGTAAGTGGAGTCCACCTGAAAATAATGATATCAAGTTACATATAAGCATTAATCACCATAGGATCATGCTAACAAAAGCATTAGGTTAGGCAGCCTGTATTGTACCTGGAATCTTATTATGTCAGTGAAATCATTCTGGGAAGTGGCTTATTGAATGTAGTCCATACATGGAGGGAGGATGTGGTGTCTTGTCCTGTGTTAGACTCAGTACAGTGGAACAGGGTACATCTGTTTACCATATGTTTGTAGGTGAGAACAACCGCTTCCAGGTGAGGTTCTCTGACCCAAAAGTGTGCAAGAGCTTCCTCCTCAGCTGCTGTCCCCATGAAATACTTTCCTCAACAGTAAGTATTTGACATTGTAGCTTAGCTTTGTATTAAATCAGAGGGGTAATCAAATCTTTATGGTAGCAATTCAGTCACAATGGTCATCACTGTAGACAGAATAAACTGGGCCATTCCAAGCATGTGGGTTTGTGCCACGTCTGGTGACGGGGCTTTAGTTTAAGGACCTTGGTTTCTGGCTTGGAGCTTACGTTAGAATCTCTTAGAAGTTCAAATTTAACTAGATGGACCAATGTGACTACTTTAGTCTAGTTGTTTCTAGAGTTTAAGATGTAAAGTGTACCTTGAATTTGTTTTTTAAGATCTTTACATTTGAATACATTATATGATTTTATGTCAGTTACATTGGTAGCATTTAAAATTGCTCTATTGGTTATCCCTCAGATTTCAGAGTCCACTGTAAATAATTTTGTATTTGCTAGACAGCAAAGTTAAAGGCCTTAGAACACTGCTGATGGTCTGTATTAAATTATTTATGTTTATATACTGTTTTATTCTGATTTTGTATGTTTTGTTTGAAAAACTTGTATGCCTATAAAGGTATATGACATTACCTGCAAACATATCATTGTGGCTTTTGTTGACTGTGAAATTTGTTGATCCGATTGTTGGTAAAGAAATTTAGAAATTGAAAATCCAAATCAAAGTTTTTCAGAGTCAAGTGTGTTCTTCTTGAGTTTACAAAAAAATTTGATTATTTACAGATTTGTTTTATATTGAACTTGTTTTGATAAGCCAGCCATCAGAGAAGTTAGTGTACATGGGTTGGAGTGATGCTGGTTGCATTTATGGGGTGTTTCTTTTTGAAGTGGAAAAATTGTTGGGTTTATGGTCACCCTATTTGTGGACATATCAGCAGGGTTGGTGAGGGCTTTCATTCCATTATTTTTTACAGCTCTTTATTCTAACTCCCAATTGTTTTTGGCAGTGGTTTGGAACAATAAACAAGACTATTATTTCGGACATTTTCCATCTTTTGAGTTTTGTCAGGCACAGTGCTTTGGAAACTGGATCTGTTTCAATCATCAGGTGTAAAGGTAGAAAGATTCTTTCTCATTTGGGCCTCTTCAGAAAGAGCTAGTCTGGATCACTAGATGAAAGAGAAGTATGAGTATATATCCTTAAAGTCAAATGTCATTATTCAGTAGTAATGTATTCTGTAATGCACACAACTGAGTAGGAAACTTTCATGCCATCCGTGATACCTAAAATAGGCCCAATTTCGAAAGCACTGTTTAAAAATCTGAAGATGTACTGTGCCCAAAATAATGTTATGTTTGTATTTTCCTTTGAGGGTGTGCAATATATGTATGTATTTCTTTTATAAATTTGGTATCTCAGAACCAGACATGTCATATGAAAGACATTAATGCAAAAATATGTAGTTCTTTCCAGAATTTGACATCATAAAGTGAGGAAATAAAGAGTGAGTTTGAGTTTGAGGGTTAGAGTTTCTGTAAGTACATCCATTGTAATAATTGGTTTATAATACTCTAGGTTCATCCAGAAGGTATGGTATAACTTGTAAAGCATTGTTGCCAGTGTACGTAAACACTCCAATATTGTTGGTAAGTAGGTGTAACTCTTGTAAGGTGACAAAATCAGGTGGAAGATGTCTCTTTTCAGTCTAAGCAGTATCCCTGAGTAGAGGGGCTGTGAACGCCACCTGCATGTAAGATGCAGATGTGAATTGTCTTTGTTGAGAAGAAATGGCATATGAACAGCCATGTCAGCAGTTTCACGTTTCTGTCTGAGCTTGTCTTCTACAGTTGTTATTCTCTCCAGAAAATTAATGTATTATCTGTCTTCAGTGTTCTGAAATCCAAGGTTGATTAAGAGGGCTTACATTTCTGCCAGAGCTTTTAAGAAAAGTAACATTTTAGGAATTGCACTTCTCACAACAGTGGTTACGAAGAGTTGTGTTTTCTGGGATATACTGCCATGTAGTCCATTGAAAGTCACCTGATATTTTGGGATAACATGTTGCTTCCATCATCAGGGTTGAAGAGTAAGGCAGTTGAGAAAGTGGCATGAAGCAAGCAACACACAGATCACGCTAATTTCTTGTTTGCATACCTTTCAAACCTGAATATGGAGGCTACGTGTTGGATGTTACTTGACTCTCATTTGACAACACATTGTTATATCCCATGAGATAGAAGTTTTGAAAATTAAGATTCTTGTGGCTTGCAAAGATAAGTTTAGACTCCAGATAAGGCACTCTGGACTGTTTCTCCCATTGCTGAACCTGAAGGCAGGACATCAGTTCGCTTAAAGATGGTATGTTGAAATTGGGCTTAATAAATGGCAGAATGATGGTGTTATTGAGTACGGGTATACTTATTTCTGCTGTCAGTTGTGATGTAAGATCTGGGATTGTATTTTTGTTATTGTTTATTTTCAATATCCCACTTTTCTCATATTATTTTAAGGAATATGGTGCTTTCACTTTGTGACTGGATGTAAGAAGTTCGTGAAAAATTTGTAAAGCATATAAAAAATATCATAATGTTGTTCAGATTGAATGTCTGAGAGAAAGAATCAAGGTAGTAAATTTTCGGCTATGCATTTTTATTGCACTCCTGTTTCATGTATATCATCCTATAAGCTCACAAGCCAACAAGGCTTATGATATTTCTCTCTGGCCCTCTTAAATGCTGGAATACTGCCTGAAACAGGTCGTTTATATCCACATCCTACCATGTTTATCTTTTCTACTCTTCTCTACAGTGATAACATTACCAACACTTGGGACACGGAAAGTGCAATTAAGCTGTGAACTACTATTAACGTGTAAGTTTTGAGGTTTTCACGGTGATGACAATGAAGAAAGTCGTCTTCTGGGTTTAGGCACCGTGTATTCTTCGTTTTGGCCGACGTTTCGGAGGAACGTAGCGCCTCCATCTTCAGAGCAGTTGAATGGCTTGGAATGCGGAGAGCAGTATTCCAAGCCATTCAACTGCTCTGAAGATGGAGGCGCTACGTTCCTCCGAAACGTCGGCCAAAACGAAGAATACACGGTGCCTAAACCCAGAAGACGACTTTCTTCATTTACTATTAACGTCTTCACACGGTACAAGTCGCAGATTGCAAGATGCTCCATTCCTTTCAAATTCATGTCTTTCAAATTGTTCAGTTGTAGGTGTGTGACTCTTGAAATGTGTACTTTTTTTTATCTTGTATCTGGAGGTTCGTGTGTGAACTCTCTTTGTATTTTGCGGCAATAATGTGTACGGGGAGGAGTGAATCGGAGTAGCTTAGGTTTTGGATGTTGTTATCCTTTAATTGTTTGTAGTGTTTGGGAGAGAGCTCCTTCTCAGTTGTCCTTGTTGCTTGCACAGTCATCAGCACATAAAATCCATTTTAAAGACAAATGGAAGTAGATAAACAGTGCAGTGTATATGAGATTAGAGCTTCTTGTGGCAGTGAGTATGAAGACTGAACTGGCATTGGAGTAGAACATTTCTATCCTGAAGGTGAGGGTTGTATGTTCCCAGAAAATGTTGGTAACCATTTACTATTCCACACAGCGTCACATCCCAGAAGGCCCTCAGTATAGACTGACATTTAAAACTTAATGTCAACATACAATATATTTCTACATCCAACCAAAAATTTGTAAATTTGTTAACAATATATTAGCATGTTTAAAATAATAGTGCAACAGGTGGTTTTGCGTTCTATAGGAATTTCTGTCCAGTGTTGTGCCAGCATTATTTGGAGCAGCAGCCCTTTGTGTGATGCATTCTGTCCTTTATCTAGGAACATTTGTACTACCCTTAAAATTTGGAATGTTGGTTCATTGTTCATGTCAGGTAAAGATGGATCTTTTTATTGTGCTAAAGCATCACACCTTGCAGGTGTATAGGGGATTTGTGTTTTAGACCCGACACTAAATGGAGGTAAGGTGTCAGCATTGTGATAGCTCCCAATACTCATTGCATTAGATAGGGACTCCATGTTTGATCGTCCACCAATTGTTACTTATTGACAGAACTATCCCAGTTAATGTTTCGTAGAAATGTGTGATTTTAAATGTGTTCTGTAATCACATTTCACTTTCCTCGAATGTATTCCGATTGAAGGTTTCTGTTATTTTACTGCATATGTATGCATTGCACCTAATTGTTGCAGGGCCGTGTTTTGCCATAATTTGTAATTGTCTACCCCTGACCTCTTAAAAGTCTGCTAGCCAGTGGCCACTCTTAGTTCAGGATCTTTCCCCCTTTCCGTCATACCTTTGAACAAATGTTAGTTCAGCATTGGTACACATACTGCAGAATTGAGATTCATTAACGTGAAACTTGGATGATGACAGACTGGTCTTCTCCTGTGTCTGTCTGGATAACAGTGCCCCATGATTTGGGGAAATGGGCTGTAGTGTCAAGAAGGTCAGTGAAACTTTGTTATGTCAGTCATGTCTTGACATGTGTCACATCGTCGTAATGTTTCTCATGGGGCATAGTCGTTGTGATTCCTCGTTGCTGTGTTTGGTTGGACACTTGCTGTAAGGAGTGTGCTGCACTGAGTTGCAGTGCCAGTGTCTGAGGGGAGGCAGAAATAGACCTTGCTCTCATTGAAAACTTGCCGAGATCTACGTTCTGTAAGTAAACCAAGTCGTATGCATGATGTTCACCAGTAGTCTCCTGTGAGGGGGCAAAGCAATCCCGTGAGTATGAACGAAGCTGACGTGCCCGGGCCATCTGCGCGGTGTGTACCCGTTCTGCACTTTTTAAAGAGAGAGCTCAAACATTCTAGATGTTAACAATTCGTGTTGAGACTCACATTTTTCAACTGGTCTCTTTCACCCTTAGGGAGATAAAGTTATGCTATTTGACACACACCCATGCGGATAGTTTAGATGGGATTTTGTCACCATTACATCATTCGGCGACACCATTCGAGCTGAGAGTCTGTAAGTTGTGAAGCCTAAACAATGAGAGGAAGAGATTTTAAGTTTCAATGATTAAATACATTAAGACATTGGAAATGTTCAGGGGAACATGTGACCAGCACTGGGGCAATTCTTCTGTTGCACATTTGTGTACTGTCCTGTCAGCATGCAAAATTTCATCTGTAGTTACTTTTGAGCCAGTTGTCATGGCAACATCTAGTGATATCGGTGTGAGAAGTGAAAGCCATAAAACTGTAATTCCCTGTAATTATAGATGTAATGCAGTTCTACTCTGTAGTGTGCAGTCCACATTTTTTTTTGAGACTTAAGTGATGTTTGAATCAGATACAGCAAACAAGATCCATTGCATTTCAACACATCTGCTTTCCATATTCTGTGAAAGAAACCTTTATATGTTGCCTGGACATGCAATTTGTTTTCCTAGTGATTAGTATTAAATGGTCATGAAACAACGGAGATTTTATTTTATTCTTAGACCAATTTTATTAAAAAATGAAATTAATGTTCCTAATTGTAACAAGAGGATTGTTGTGAGATTTAAGATACAACTTGCATTCACAAAATACATTTGCATTTTTTAATTATTATAAAATTCTATCTTGTCTGCTATAGTTCGTTACCCCCAAAAGAAAAATTCATGACATTCATTATAAGGCGTCAGGTCCATGTCGTACTTTAATTATATGTGTATCTGCATTGCAGATGCTGTAAGCATCAGTTAGAGCACAAGAGAACTGTCCTTATTTGTAGAAAGGTTTCATGTTGTGATCTTGGGCCATTGTGTTTTTTCTTCGCACATAGCGCATGAAATGAATGCATAAAAGGAAGGGGACAATCTGCCCAGCTTTATGTTTTATTTCTGAAACCACTTTGGTTTTTGACTAAGTTTAACATTGGGGTGACTACACTAAAAGAAGTAATTTGGCACATTATACTTTGCTTTCTATAGCCCTTACTTTACATGAGAATCAAATGAAAACTCGCTCTTCTTAAAAACAGTTCTTATAGAAATGTTGTATTTGAGGTAAAGTACATATCTTTCTTACTTGAAAGATCTTGTAGGTGTGATGGATATTTAATAAAATGGAAAGGAAAATAATTTTTGAGCATGCTTAGAGTTGAGTGCAGTGTTCGATAATTATGTGGCATACTTTAGGATGGCAGAAAATAAATGTTGTCAAGATATTTAAAGGTAATGTAATTCAGTGTATGTATACTAATTTTTTTTTAAATAGTACGTGTATGTACAGTGATTGGATATACCAACCAGAAGGTAGAAAATTTGAATTTGAATTATATTTGAATTAACCCTTTCCCATTCTTTATGTTTCCAACCTCAATACCAGCTGCAGATTAATTTGTGCAAATTAGGTATAAAGTTCAGCCTGTAGTTCCACCATTCTTCACCTTGGCAATATATGGAGGTGAGTGGTCAGCTCTGTGCCCCTTGTCACTTTACCCACCAGGGAAAGAGCCCACAGTGCCTTTTTGATGGGAGGCTGGTTGGGTCTCAGAGCTGGTCTGGATTCTGCCAAAAAAGAAGTTTTTGCCTATGCCAGGAATTAAATCCCAGATCCTCAGCATCCAGCCTGTGGCCTGTTTCTGTACCAGTGGAACTATTGTGGCCTACTTTGGTGCGAGGAAGCAATAAAACTCCTGCCATCTGCTGTTCCTATATTAATGCCAAGAAATTAAAGATATATTGTCATAATTCGTCAGTAAATTTGTGAAATTTGGCACTGTAAGGCTTCAGCATTGGACCTGTACATGAGAATTACATTCTTGGAAGTGTTCTGATGGAGGATAGGAAAGGGTTTATAAGTCATCCATTTCAAGGAGATAACTTGTAGAAGATTTGTGACATACATTGAATGAAATGAACTACATTGTAATGTCTTGAAAGATTTGCAGCAGTAATAAAACAAACATCATGGTCAGTGAAATATGTATCGTCAAAAAGGACACATCTGGAAAGTGTGTGTTCTCAGATTTGACGTTTATCTTTTGATTCTTGTTGTCATTGCATACCCTTGTCAGTTATGGGAGACATTTGAGGCTAAACCCTTAGTTATTTTGTGCCTGAAATTCTTTATCATGTGGAATGAGCAACAGAGAGAATATGGTCACATGTACTGCTGAATATTTTGAATGAGTAGTTATAGGAGGGGCTGTTTGCTTTGAGTTTCGTATTCTTAACAATTGAAAATTTATGTTTTGTTTTATTGGCATCTGTTTGCCATTCTATTTTCATGTTAGGTGCCTTGATGATGGTACTTTTACAGCATAGGACATAGTGAGTTCTGGGTGCTTGGAAGTTTGGATTGTAGCAACACTGTTCTGTATTTTCAGCGAATGGACCTTGGAGAATGCCCCAAGATACATGATTTGGCTCTCCGTGCTGACTTTGAGAAAGCAAGTCAGTCCAAGGATTATTACTATGATATTGACGTAAGTATCCATATTGTTTTAATTTTTTCCATGAATTATTTGATGCATTATCTGCAGTAGGGAAACATTGCATCATCAGGTTAAGATTTAACTGTGTACCAGTTAATTTGTTTTGTGAGTTATTTTACGATGCTCATGGTATCTAGTCTGTTCATCTGCTATTAGAATGAGGTGCGCTGTCAGTAAGTGACAATGATTTTAAGTTTCATTAATGATGCCGACATTATAAGGACTATTAAAATCACTGGTAAGATGATTAATGAATGTGGAGTAGTTAGTGGAATAGAAATTGGCAGGGAAAGCTGAATTAAAGGTAAAAAAAAAGGTAAAGTTATCCCTTTGCTTAACTAATTAAGCACTACACTATGAAGACATAGGAGTGGATGTATACCCGTGTTTTCTTGACCTTGCACTAGGTGGAGTTGAGTGTTCAGCCTCACTCCCTGGCCACTTTACCCCCTGGGGAGAGAGCCCTTGGTACCCATTGGATAGGAGGCTAGGTGGGCCCCAGAGATGGTTTGGAGTACATGGAGAAATGAAAATGCTTGCCCCCATTGGAACTTGAACTCTGACCCCTAGGTCATCCAGTCTGTATCCAGGTGCTATACTGACTGTGCCATCCTGGCTCTCAGGAAGACCTCTGGTGCTTGAAGTTGGATTGAACAACAGTTGGATGCGAGTGATTACCCTTCTGAGCTGTGGCATGGCTCATATATTGTTACATCATCTTAGGAAGGGTTAGGTTCCATTCTTGACATACTTCCAGTATTTATATGTCATTCGGGAATTCAAACAGTCACATGTCACATGTTATGTGACTAGACAGGAGATATGGATTAATAATTGGATATATTGAACACACAACTCTTAGCTACAAAAAATTATACTGCTGTCACTAATCAACGCACTTTACAATTCACTATAGCATACTTTAGCTACTCGGTGTGTTACAGTCGTCAGAGGTTGTTGCTAGATAGCAGTGTGGTGTGTCCGTTATATGAAGAGGCACCCGCTTGTTGAATTGTTCCATATATATTTATTATAGTAGCACAGTAGACAGGCGCACTTCGATTTGAAGAATTGAAGGCTAACAGTATAGTAACAATATTACTGCTTGCAACACCCACACCACACTCTCTGTAGTCAAAGTCATATTGCGACTGATGATCGGTCAGTAAGTCTTGGTATTTAGCACCCTCCTGGGGCTCATGACCAGATACTTATTACTCCTCGACAGTTATGGTCTTGTTTCTGTGGGGAGCCCTCTCTGATGAGAGGATGGGTTTGTCTTTTGTATATGCTGCTGGCCCTTGCCAGTGCTGTGTTTCTTGGGTCCTAGTCCCTTGGGACTTCAGACCATGTTTTACTCTCACATTTGAGACTCCCCTTTTCGTCACCAGGCATTCTTGACGCGTTGCTGCAACACAGCACCCAAGGTGGACGTGGAAGCATCTGTGACGAGTGCAAGTGGCCTGAATGTGTTGAGGTGTGCCATTGGAGTGGTGCATGACAAACTTGTGTTGCACTTTTCAAAATATTTGTGTAGCTCCAGTGTCCAAGTGGTGGGGTGGGAGATCTTGACTTTGGGTCCAGAGAAGATGTCGTGAGGTGGTGTCTGGTGTGCTGCCGCATGGTGCATAAATTGCCTGTAGTAGTTCAGAATGTTCAGGAAACGGCGGAACTGACTTGACAGTTTTGGGAGGTTGGCAGTTCTGTAGAGAGTTTATTTGTTCTCCCAGTGGTTGGGAACCCCCAATGTAGGCTGTGTAACAGAGGAAGGTGAGAGAGATTCTCGATCCACTGCACAAGTGCGTTCCTGTTGGAGAGTGGCGTGACACTCATGAGCGCTGGCTGTGGTATGGCCTCAGTGCAGTCTACACAGTGGCCTACGGTGTCCAGGTTGCTCTCTGGCTGGCCGGCGAGAATGGTCCTTACGTTGGGGGATAGCCAGCTGAATCAGATGCTGTGGAGGAAGTTGTCTGGCATGTCTGGGATGGTTTTCGGTCTCCCATCTTGAGTGTAAGGAACTGACGGATGCATTGCTCTCTTGAGGGGGACAGATGAGTCACCAGTTCGGTCTTCAGCGTCATGTAAGGGTCTCGTTCCCATGGAGAGATGGTGATATCCACTACTTCTGCAGCGTAACGTTGGTCCAACTGCAAAATCATGTAGCAGAACTTGGTCTGCTTGGTACTGATGCCGGCCAAAGTGAACTGTGCTTTGCCTTGAGCAAACCAAGCTGCTGGTCTCTTGTGGAAGATGAATACCGGCCATTACCTAACAATGTAAGACATTTCTGAGCCCAATATTCTGGCTTTCAGCTGTCCTGTGATAATATGGCTGTCACAAGGTATGATGTACTCTGGTTTGCATAGTGTCAAATGGTAAGGTGAACGATGAATTGAAAAGGATTTGGAAGGAAGCAGATGTGGTTTAATCAAGGTACTTTCACAGCATTAGGCTGGTGGGACTGAGGAAAACCATGAAAGCATTGAAATGGATATCCAGATTCCCAGCTGATATTCAAACCAAACATTTTCTGGGTATAAGTGTAGAGTATTACCATTACAGCAGCCATCTTGGCTAAGTAGTTAATAGCTGGATTGTACGCTATAACCCTTTTATTCTGTAATTCAGGGAGGTGTGAATGTTTTATCACCACATACAGATTTCTGTCTGACACGTACCTTCAGATGAGTCAAGTCTGTATACATGTTTTTGTGTAGTTCACATGGTGGAAGTATTCTGCACTGATTTTGTTGATGTCACAGCTTGCTTGGATCCTAGTCCTAACATGAGCATGCTCTTGAGTCTGTTGATAGTTGGGAGGCATTCACTTTGAATCTTGGCCTGGGTAGCACCTCTTTTAAACATTTTTATTATAATTTGTTTTATGTTCTCAGGATGGGAGAAATTTTCTAATAAATGCAGGTTTCATTCTTGGCAGAGCCTCTGTGCTTTGTTGCTAGAAAAGAGGAATCAAACAAAGAAGATTCTCTGATGCTTAATAACTTTTGTTTTGCAGATATCAGTGAAGACACATGTGAACTGTACATGTTTAACAATGCTGCCGGTACTGTACACTGACAAACAGTAACATATACTGTGTTTCACATTTAAGATACATCCATTTTGTTTGTGAGTTGTAGAGAAAAATTAGAAAGGTGCATATTCCTCAAATTTAAGAAGCACATACATTTTTCAGCAGTAAAAAGTGTGTAGAATGTGTGTCTTATATTTGAAGTACTGTGATATATTGGGGCCATACTGAAAGTAATGAACAGCTTTGGTTCGTGCATGCTGTATAAACACGAGACTAGGGGTATGTGGTTGATGGCTGTATCTGTGACCTGAAATACAGATCCAGCTCAGGTACGCTAATATTTTGATGCTTTGCGAGCATGCTGTGATCAAATGCCCCGTTAATGAGAACTGTTCTGTCACACATCTTTGATCAACTTTGTTATTTCCATGGAGATTCCTGCATGTATGCCAGTAGTGTGTGTCATTGGATGAAATGCTTCAATGATGACAAGAGAAACATTGCCTATCTGCCTCACAGCAGTCGACCAGGAGCCACCACCATGGAATACAGCAAACAGAAAGTTCGTGTGCATATCACAGAAGAGTATAGGCGATGGTTAGCGAAGCCATAGTGTAACTTGGCATTGGAAACATTACCATGGAGGAGATTGTAAAGACTTTGGGATACTGGCAAGTTTGTTCTTGTTATGACAATGATATATTGATACGGTTATTGACTTTTGGACGTGTTATATCCAAAAAGTCTGTAATTGTATATTGTCGGTAACATATATATTGTTTTCCTTGGTTTCACTGACTGCTAATGGATGGGGGCAAATGGGCACACATGGGTGTCTCATAGCTTGTGCTTCAATGGCATGCTGCCAAAGGTGATGACTTATTCAGAACATCGTGACTGGCGATCAAAACACGGTCCACCCTTTTTATCCCAAAACAGAACAGCATAGTTTGGAATCTGCATTTCCAAAAAGGAAGAAGGCCATAATAATACGCTTAGCTGGAAAAGTTACAGGAAGAGTTTTCTGGGATGCCGAGAGGTACATGCACACTGGTCATTTCCTGCGTGGAAAGGAAACATGTCGAATTGTGCCACAAACTGTAATGTGCTCTTCATGACAATTGCCATTTGGAGACACATCATTCTTAAAGGTGATGATAACATGACCTCCGACTGCTCATGTGATATCAGGGAAATTGAAAATTTTTGCTGAGAAGTGCTGCTTCATTCTACCTTCAGCACGTGCTTTGCCCCTTCAGATCTCAACTTTTTGGAGCCATTGATAGATCATGTTCAGGGCCAGCACTGTGAGAATGATGGGACAATCCAGCAAACTAGTGACTGGACATCTGCAGTAACTCAAGAGTGATACCTGGTTGAATTCATGTTGAAATGTAAAGCTATCCCTGTAACATGCTGTGGAGGCTCATAAGGTTATGAGACATCGAGGTTCCCACATTTTCATAGACTATTGGCTCAGGTGGCAGTGGGGATGTCAGCCACCCTTTAGTCCCAGGAAGATACATGGTACTTTTTTCTTTCTGTTAGGGGCTGAGTTAACTGCAGTGCCATAGTGGGGCTGGAAGGATTAGGTCATTTGAAAAATCTAATGATCTCATTGGGAATTGAACCTGTGACCTTCCTGCTTGTAGAATATGCCTCAACCAAGCTACCATGTGACCCTTTTTGCTTAATATTAGATAAAGTGTGCTTATGACTTCTGGTACTGCATGTGTAATAATAATGTTTTAGTCCTTTCCATGCAACACTTGAGTTAAGTCCCAAGGTGGTGTAGTTTTTGTCTATATATATATATATATATNTGCCCACCACAAATCCCACTTGACCAGACCTGAGATCGAACCTGGGCTGCCGCAGTGGGAAGCCAGCAACTAACCGCTTGAGCAATGGTGTGGCCTTTTGTCAATATAACTTACACTCATATTAACTTGTTTATGGCATGTTTCAGTCAGTTTCATGACCATCACATAATATATACAAGTGTTGTTCGTGAGTTACTGCACTGCTTTGTTCAACAATTCATTAATGTTGATCGAAGTTTTACACTTAATTGATTAAAACCAAAGCTGTAATATATTAAAAAGTTATTGGAACTGGTATACTTTGCTGATTCTTTCAGCCCTTGGTGTAATTGTGTTGTAGGTTCTCTGCTTGTGTGTGTTTGCTCAAACATAGAATGGTAAACATTCATGTTTATGGTATAAATACATGTATTACAATATATACTTCTGTATCAGAACAGTACTGTAAATATGAACACATACCATTACACGTTGTATTTCTAGGCGATGGAACACCTGCAGGCGTTCATTGCTGACTGTGACCGCAGAACTGAGCTGGCTAAGCAACGTCTAGCTGAGACTCAGGAGGAGTTGTCTGCAGAAGTTGCCCAGAAAGCTAACAAAGTGCATGAGCTGGCAGAACAAATTGGCAAGAAGTTGGCAAGGGCAGAGCAATTGGGAGCTGAGGGCTTCGTGGAGGAGAGTATGAAGCTGATGGAAGAGGTAAGCTAAGCCATTGCTGATTAACAGCTTTTCTGAGATGTGTCTGCCACCCACACCAATCACCTTTACTGTGTTTCGGATGGTTTGAAGTTCATGCTTAGATTATGGTAATGCTACCAAACACGTATTTGGTTTGAGTGCTTGTGGAAGCCAGAGTTTGTATCCCCCCCCTCAAGTCATTACTTGTTTTTTGATATTTTGCCTTGTCATCAGATGGCAGCATTATGTGTTCCTTTTGTTAAGCTTTGACCAAAGAATGCATTTCATTATGGACTTAGACAAAGAAGTCTAAAACTAGGGCATTTTCTGTAATAACATTGCAAGAGCAGAGACTTCACCCTGTTTTTAAATGCAGTTGCAAGGGCTGCCAAGGTGTCAGTTAGAAGGCCTTCAGACAGTAAAATCACATAACTGCCTATTTTGGATGGAAATGGCTGCACTTTCACAGGTGCTGGATGAGGGCCAGTTATTTTATACATGCTGTGTGTTGACTGTGTTATGACAAATATACATTTCAGGGTATGTGAGTTGGGGTAAAAGGTTTATTTGTAATTATGCATGAGAGAGATGAAAGTTTGGAGGATTTATGATGGTGGTGATACTTTTATTTGTATTGACTTGAGGGGGAGGGGACGTCTTTTGAGTTACCCAGCCAGAAAGACCCCTGTAATTTGGCAAAATTGAAAATAAATTTAAAGATACACAATTATTTTCATGCTTAAGTCATCATGTAATGGCTAATGTTCAAATAATTATCGTCAGATTTTAAGAAGATTTAGGGGAACAGTACATATGTATATACTCGTACGAGTATACTCCCCTGGTTTAATGCTGGGTTATCCCCCCCTCCCCAAAAGGTGTTGTGAATCAGAAATGGGGTATGTGTAATGACAAATATTTTGCTTTATGATCATTAGATTACACGCCTCCTTTTACAAAGTCAAATGTGGGAATAAGCTTATATTCACAAAAATTCTATTGTTTTTGCTTCCAGCCAGTAGAAGTCAAAGGTGGTGGTTTATAAGGATGTTTCACCAAGTATGTATGTATGTATGTCGCTCAGGGCATTTCATGTATGTTGCTGATAATGATAGTTACAAGCACTTTACCAAGGCTTTGCAAACATGTTGATCATAAGAATGGTCGTTTTAAGGAATTTTCCCTAGATGAGATGAAGTGGATCTCTGTTATGAGATTTTATTTGATTGTTTTTTCTGTAGATTGAAGATCTGCGTAAGAAAAAGAGTGCAGCAGAAGGCGAGTATCGCAACTCGATGCCTGCCAGCAGCTACCAGCAACAGAAACTGCGTGTCTGTGAAGTGTGCTCTGCTTATCTGGGTATTCATGATAATGATCGACGTCTGGCAGATCATTTTGGTGGCAAGCTTCATCTGGGATTCATCAAGATCAGAGAAAAGCTGTCTGATCTTGAGGTAAGCATTACGTAAGAGTAGTCGTAACATGTACTTTAACTTTCTGTAACTTTTGGTTCAAATTTCTATGTAGTTCTGCCTTGTGATATTTGGTAAGTTCATATTTTTTAGTGTGTGTTTTCCATTGTGAAGCTGCAGTGATAAGTCGTGTGTGTCACATGTGGACATTTCATATTTCCATCTCTGCTATTGTGCAGCATCTTGTGTTAGCATTCACTCTTAATTCCATTTTAATATTATTCTTTGTGTTCCTTATGTGAGCTCTTTCCATGAGATTTTCATTCAAGTCATGAGTTTATTTTTAGTTTGTCCTCTATACATGTGAGTTCCTTCCCTGAGTCTTGTAGATTCAACTGTCATAACAATGCTAGGTGATGAGTACAGGTTCTGCTGTTGGTATGTTCTACATTCCATTTTTATTTCATTATGAGAATGAGATACATTTCTGCAGTCTGGAGTGTCTTGTGGAATTCTTTTGGTTTAGATCATTTCGTTGCTATTGACACATTGTCTCAGTCACAGGGGTGAAAGTTTTGCTCGTGTTTTGATTATGTCCAATAGGGTAGAAACGCTTCTGCTTGCGCAACAGCTTGGAATGTGCTTTGCTGTTATATGTGATTGGAGGAATGTTTGTTTCAGAAAACTGTCGAAGGCCGCAAACAGCAGAAACGGCAGGAGATGAGCAATAGAGACCGTGAGAGAGAGAGGGAGCGTGAAGATCGTGAGCGTGAACGTGTAAAGGACAGAGAACGGGATCGTGTTGGTAGTTCAAGTAACAGAGACAGAGGTCGGGATCGTGACCGAGACAGATCACACAGGCGCAGCAGGAGTTCCAGCCGTGGTCGCAGTGAGAAGAGATCACGATCACGTAGCAAATCACACAGTTCCAGGTATTTCATGCTGTCCTGCTCTTCTTGTACTTGTTTGGGATTAAGAGAGAATTTTCTTACCTCTGCAGCATCCAGACTGGCTCTGGGACCGTCACAGTCTCCTGGTTGATTGGTACCAGGGTCTTCTGGTAATGCTACTGGGGCTTGAAACTGATGACTCACCTCCATCTGAGGCTGGGGTTAAAGAGTAGTGGAGCCGTGCCTCCATTTGCCTATATATATCATACTCAGTTCATTGCCAGCTCTTTCCTCGTTTCTATCATATGAAAGGTTTAAATGCCCGGGTATTATTCAGTATTTAAATATTTTGAATACCATTAGGTCCATTGTAGTTTATGTTTTGTGGACCAGAGTTAGATTTCCTGGCTCTATGTCCCAGCATTGCACTCACATTTCACTTCATATAATATACATCTCATCTATTATACATTTATATTTTTTTTTGCGCATATCCTCTTGTTCGGAAGGCTAATTGGATTGGTCATATCTTACGCGGTAACTGCCTTCTAACAGAAGTTACTGAAGGAAAGATAGAGGGGCCGACAGAAGTGACCAGAAGACGTAAGGAGATGCTGGATGACCTTGAGGACAGAAGAGGATATTTTTATTTGAAGCAGAATGCTCTGGATTGCATCAAGTGGAGGAACTGTTTTGGAAGAGACTCTGGACCTGTCATCTTGAAAGATTACAGATGAATGAATGAATCCTCTTGTTACCTCTACTGAGTGCTGCTCATCTGAATTTATTTCTGTTTCACTCTCATTTGTTCTTTCCATCCTTTCCCTTTTCACATTTTATAAGTCATGGGTAATTTGGAGTTTATTTTTTAGGTCACGTAGATCCCGCAGCAGTAGCCGCAGCAGACGCTCGAGGTCACATCGCTCTCGTTCTGGAGACCGCAGGAAGGATCGCTCACGTTCAAGAGATAAGAAGCGTGATGGGTAAGATGATTCAAGAGCCTCGTGTTGAATGCTGATAGAATTATGTTACAAATTTACATCTTACTCTGATGTGCAGTAGGACCTGCTCTACAAGATTTCCAGCTTGGACATTGAATGCATGTATGACTGAAGGAGTTTTCTGTGGGACGTATATTTTTTCCACGTGTGGACTTGCTGAGCTGCTCATTTCTGGCAGGTTCTTCTGATGCCTGCAGTCCAGCTTGTCGTGCAAGATGTATTGACCTAGACCCAAAAAGTACACATTTTTCACAGGCGTGATTAAGTATTTGAAAAGTTTTCTGACTGTAGGAACTGTGTTCACAGAAGAGTTGGAGTAGCAGAGACTGTTCAGTGTTTATGTTCAGGACAGGTTTAGTTGGGCCAGATTCTGAATTCAGCATGCTGTGAAGAAATGGTTGAAATTCTCTTTCAGGTCTGTATTTGACTGGTTATTGAAACGTTTTACCGTTAGTATTAGAAAATATTTAACGAATTCTTACCCTAAGAATATGTTTTAAAAAACATAAAAGTTCATTCATTCTGTCCTCTGAACGTTACTACCACACACAGAAGTGAGGTACTTGGCAATGATTACATAAGGCGTGTTGCCACTACGTAGTTGATTGAGGCATGATTAATTTTCTTGCCTTTGTACTTTCTCATTTATGTATTATATATGAGAAAGTGTTGTGATGGCCAAATTAAATTTAGAGATTGTGAGAGATACACATGTTCTGAGCCCCCAGAATTTGAAACTATGGTTTTTTTTGGTATGTTGTCATTGTAGCTGTATGTATGGATGTTTACCTCTCTAGTGCCTGAACAGTTGGCAGGATTTTATTTGTGTTTGTTATTCAGGAGTTCATCTGTCATGGGTTGATACCTGGTGAATATAAGCTTGCTGCCTCCAAAAATAGAGACCAGACCACATTTTGGCCAAATGGCCATAATTTATGTACACCATCTTCATAATGAAACTGGATAAGCAGTATCTTCTTGCACCAGGGTTCTGAAAATGAAATGTCATTTCTCTGAAGACTGGAGTTAGTGGTCAGATTGATTTTGTTCTTGTTCAGTATTCAGCAGCCAAGAGCAGTTTCCCATGGAAGTTTGGATTTTGTTTCCAAAGTAACAGTGAAGGTTAGTCATGTATGAGGAAGTATGTGCAATATCATTGCATTTTTAAGGGTGGAGTGTTTTTCTTCCAGTATTTATTTTCCATTAAGGAACTCATGACCACCACCTTTGCATTTTGTACAGCTTGAGTTCCTGGTCTGGTCCTGGCAGTCCATAGCTCGCCTCTGTGGTTGCAATTAGACGTAAGTAAGAAAATCAAATAAAATGTGGGTAGGAAAAGGCAAAAGTTAATGCTTCATTTTACACTCTTTGGTAGGTATACTTAACGAAGGTTTTGCAGTATTTGGTACTGTAGAAATGGTAGGTAGGAAAACTGCTTCTCAGGGATGCAGTATTGTGGCCTGTGTTGTCTTTCTTCTTAGTTCATTTCCCCTCCTCTGGCAGAAAACAGCATTGTGCCCTCTAAAGTGCTTATTTCATGCCTATCAGTTGCATTGGCCATTAGTGGGTTCCATTTCCTCATCCCCTCATGGGTTAGAGAGATTACCTTCCTTGCAACATGTCTATATAACTGAAACGATTTCCTCACTTTAGACACTTAAGACCTGGAGGGAGAATTTTCCTTCTAAACATTTGTATCTGCCTGCAAAACTAGAGAGTGTCAACCCGGAAGACCACAGTCTGAACAGTCACTGCTGTGAAAACCTGAAAACGTATGTCATGTGATACACATTTTTATTCATAGTAAAGCAGTCACTATTCTGTAACTGATTGTGGAAAATTTGTGTGCAGGTTCTGTGGTATATCATGTAGTAGAGTCTTGTAGAATGTTTGTATATTTGTTATGTACAGTGGATTCCTGATTATGTAGTTATTCTATCCTAAATACAGACTGAATTCAAGAGGTAATGGTGCACTGTTTTGAAAAGGTGATTGTCCTTCAAACCATCCAGTACTGTCTGTCGCTCTCATGTCACTGGGTGAATGAGTTACATATTAGAAATTGTTTTACCACTAAGGAATAAAATCTCAAAATCAGGACAGAGTTTGCCCAAGTTTCTTGCTTGTCAGAGAAAAGTGTGCGTGCACACACATGTACAATGCATTTAATGTATAATATATATTGAGAACTCCATATGAAGACTCTTCATTTTCCCCAGTTTTCGTTTCTAGTTCAACCTGTTTTCTAATAATGCATGAAGGCTGATTTTTAATGCGCTCTTTTACAGATAATCCACAAATAGTCGGATCATAAACTCTCTTTCATATACTGTACACCATATATCCACATCAAAATATTAATACTTACAGAACAGTCATGATACAATGAAACATAAGGTTGCTTGCTTGTTATTGGAGAAAATGTTATAATGATTTTGTTGGATTTATACACTTTTTTACTGCTTTAAAAAGCAATTAATCTGTACATTTTTGTGCTGGAGCAGGTTTTCCTCCAAGTTTCTTCAGTTGTCCCCTGCATGTTATCATTCTACCATTGCTTCATACTCGTTTTATCACCATCTCCCCGAGATGTACGATAGGTCTGATCATATGACATGCATAACATTCTCGGTCTTTGGGCTTTGTCTCTGATGTGGCGCTTGGCTGCTTCCACAATAAGGATATTGGTTTTAGTAGCACAGAAAATTCCACCATTTGCGTAACGCTCATATGTGAACCTCTAGGGTTTTGTGACAGTCCAGAAGAGGCAGCACATTATTACATCCTTGGTAGTTAAATATGGGCATTATCTGTGATCCAGCACTTGGCTGGCTACTGAACAAGGAAGTTAGTTTTAGTTTGTAAATACATTAAACACAATCTGGTTATTTAAGTAGGGTTGTTCTTGAGACACTAATCATCTTCAGTTAGCCAACAAATTTCATTGTCTTTAACGTAACCTGAAAGGTCAGTGTAATATTCACAAGAACTCATCACCGAGCCAGATGTGGAAGAGTTACCACTTTTGGAAGTAATTGTTTTTTCTACCATGGTAATTTGAATGCACAAATGTAATGCAGACTTTTTTTTTTACATACATATATGAGGGAGAGCCAGTAAATCGGTCACAAATGGATACAATGTGTAAAGACATGATATCTGAACCTGGAAAAAATATTTACTTCTCAACATATCCACCAGCATTGGTACATGGGTCTGATCTCTTTACCAGTGTGTCAAAACCTGCAGCATAGAAGTTTTTTTACTGTTGTTTCAGCCCCTTTTGAATCTGGTTGGGCCTGAACTGAACTTTCAAAAATCCTTGACAGAATTTCTTGATGCCAATGTGAACCTCTTTACATGACAAACTCTTCCCACCTTAAACAGGAAACGTTTCTTTATGAATGTCCTTTGTATTGAGTCCTTTTACCCACAAAAAATGCTCAAAAAGAACACTGCTCTTCGGTATTATTGTCCTCAAGCATTGTCACCATTTTGACTACTGAAACCAGCCTCTGAACATGTGCATGCGAGTCTGCTATCTAGACTTTCATGCAGCTGGACTGTGCTGCTGCCTAGTGATAGACATAGGAAACCTGTTACGTCCGTTACAGCTGCTTTACTTCCATTTATGACTTATTTACTGACTCTTGTAGAAAGTAAAGCAGGTAATTTTCATAAATATGGTTGTATAAGGAGTTCATCTTGTGCAGTGTAACACCATGCAGTCCAATTGAAGTTTTTCAGTATTTTGGAAGTATGTATTGGGCACTAACTTTGCTGACAAGCGACGGTCGCTAGTTCGCTTGCAGACTAAAACCACAGAGTTTGTTTGTATTGGGTCCATTTTCATGGTGAGTGAATAAACTGAGGAAGCTGTCAGCAAGAAGCAAGAGAAAGTGCAGCAAGTTGTGCATAGAAACCTGGTTCATATATAGGATTATGAGGGCTCCCAGAGAGGGCCAGTGGGAGCAAGGAGGGGAGGAACTGAATGGGGCCATGTTTGTGAAATTGGAGAGATGAGAGAAGACAGGGAAATAGTGGCATGACATGACCAATGGGAGCTATGGATGCACGAAGAGAGTGGCAGTGGTTGTAGGCACAGGGGAGGGGGCGAAAGGGGGACACAGCCCTTTACAGGGGCAATGCTAGTAGCTCTCTTTACTCCTTTTCATTCTCTCTGGGGGCCCTTTACAGGACTATGTATGAATGAAGTTTACTGTGCTTTGTTCACCCTGCTCACATCTTTTTGATTTTGTACATGGCTTGTTAGCCCCCTCTGAAGAATTCCACTGAAACGTCAGCTAAGACTTAGACTGCATGATGTCAGATCTTCCTAGTCACTACTGAAAACGTTATATCTAGATTGGTTATGTAAGTTGTGGATGAAGACCAAGGTTGGCTTGTGAATTTGATTTTGTGGATGTGAGGAGGTACAGTGTGTGTGCGTGCGTGCCATAATCAAGATTCTGCTGTACAGTATGGTTGTAAAATTGTGGACGTGTCCATTCTGATAGTTATTTTTCTTATGAAGTAGGGAGTCATCCCGGAGTCGCAGAGACAGTGAATAGCGGGCAGTAAAAGTATGAAACCTTACAGATGCTTGTGTTATGAAGTAGGGAATTATCCTGGAGTTGGACAATGAACTGTGTGAATAGAGAAGATCGTCATATGAAATCTGAATTGGAAGATTTCAATGAATATAAATTTAAAAGTGAGTAGTAATTATATTAGATTTTAGGTTCAGTGCTATCATCAAACTTGCGGCAGATGCAGTCATTGTCACTGTTGAACTGATTGTGATTGGTTATACATAAAGTTTTATGGCAGCAGCTGACTGCGTTTTCTTAAGGATTCAGTATTTGTATGGTTGCTAACTTCATGTTCTGCAAGACATCAAGAAATCATAATCCGTGTAAATTGAGATTAAAATTTTCAAGGATTGTGCAGGTTCTCCCTCCTCCCCTTTCTTCTCTCACAGGTTCTAAAGTGAACTTGGTTATGTGTAATGTCATTTCCTGTAAGGATACAGTTGTGTATCATAAATATATATACTGTATTGGAAAATATTTATTTTCAGTGCTTTATGCTTCAGAAATTGTTTTACTGTGATTTAAAATCTGTCTTTGATGTAGTTGTGTAATAAAGTGTAATGGATAAACCATGCCGTGAAATTGGGTATTTGGAGTGTACTGATAGAGTCGTTGCTTTTCACACAAACAATGGTACCAAAGTGGAGTTAGATGATATCCATTCAGTGTTTCATTGTAAATGTGTTGACACCTTATTTTATATGAATAAAGGATATAGTTGCTTGTTATAGTGACTTGTATATACTCAGTGTGTGTAATAGTTACTCTGTAATTCTCAATAACTTGTGTTGCATAATAATTAGTTTATTATTTTGAATGATTGTTTTATTTTGATACTGTTTTTCCTTGCATGTGATGCATGTCACAGTCGGCTAGATGTGTAAAATAAAATAATTACCATAGTAAAGGATGTATGCGGCCATCTCATAAACTGTGCACAAGGACCAATTTGTGTCTATACTGCCACTCCAAAAGTTAAAATTATATCTAAAAAATCAAATAGGTGTTCACTTTTTATAACAAGGGTGATGTATGAAACACATGAAGAGTTCTAGCTTGTGGGATATAATGTTGTGTAGGCTGTTAAAAGTCAACTCGTCTTCAGGATCAAATAATACGTCAAGAAATCACCATGAAGCAGTTAGCAAGCAAAGCTAAGGATGTTATCTGAAATGTTGGTTGACTTTCAAGAGACTTCACAGTGTTATATCCTAGAAAATAGAACTCTTCATAATTTTTCTCTTATTCTGGTCATACTGAAAGGAAATGGATGATTCTCAGAATATTAAGCATTACACCCAGAAAGAAAATACTGCACTTTGATGTAAAGCTAGAATTGGATGATTCATCGTATCAACGGTTAGTACTGTTCTCATCTGCGTGTAGTTGACATGTTGGGCAGATTTGTTGATAATTGTTGGTGTGCTGCTACCACAGTGTTCATGGCTGAAGTTGCACGCTTCACTTCAAATATGTCCGTGTCATCAGGAGAGCTGAATGATGCAAATAATAAATGAACAGTTTAGACTGGAGGTAATGCTCTAGACTTGTGCTTGGTTCGTATCGTGGCTGAGGCATTACTCTCCTGGTTGAGGTTCTTAATGCTTTTTCTCTAGGAAAGTGCTGGGACAGAACCTTGATAAGGCCACAGATATTTCCTTCCATATCCGTTACAACTTCTCAGTCACTCAACTATGTAAATTCTTTTTGCCTCATTGTAGCATTGGCATGTGGCAAATCAGACATTGATTTAAAAGAAGTGTATTCCAATGAATTACATGTTTTAATGCATTTTGTATACAGGCTGATGAATGAAAATTCTACAGTCCTTTCTTTCTTCATGCAATGTTTCTGTCTCAATTTCATGCCAGCTTTTGATTCTCTTCATGTGCCTTCTGAAACCTGGCTGAATTGCCTTGTTCTTGGTCATTCCATAAGTGTCTTTCTTAAAAAATTTAGTTCTATTACCTGTCTCAAGTCTTGTTCTGTCCATAGCCAGACCATCATAATTTCTCCTTTTGTCCTTATTTATTTTCAATTGTAACTGCTATAAACATTTCATTTGTAGTTCTGTTGCCCCCCCCCCTTTTTGGGGGGGGGGGGACAGTAATGCTTTGAAACTTCATATACATTTCTTTGGATTTTGCTTTTTGTTCTGTTTATAAGGGTACCCATGTTTTGATATGTGAGCATTGGTTTAAAACATTCTGTATAGTTTATTTCCCATTGTTTTGGGATCATATTCATAATATTCATTTTATAATACAAAGTTTTGAGCTATTTTCTGATCAGTTGACTTTCCATTTAGAGTTATTCCATTCATAAATAAATTTCTCTCACTAACAATTGCTAACAAGCAATTAGGTTAGTAACTGTTTTTGGACATATTCTTGATAATAGTTTATCCTGTGATTCCTCCTGTGCTTTTTTGCATAGCTTACATTTCACATACACTGGTCTGGCAAAAGGTAAGTTTGTAATTTTTCTTGTTAAGTGCTTAGGTTATGGTTGTAAGAATTGCATAGGTATCTAGGATTTAGTACTGAAATCTTAGGTCACTGTAGTTGATCTGTTATTCAGAATGGTAGTGATGAAGGCTGTTTCAAGCATAAGGGTGGAGAAAGGTTCGGTTTAATGCAAGTAATCTTTGACTTTTTATGTGCTCACAGTTAAAAGTTGACAATGGAAATTTCCCACATGATATATAAATGTCTTAAGAGTGAATCAGTATGTGTAATAGTTTATTGTACAACTTTCACAATTTTGCCACATAGTCATAGCGAGGACACTGTATGATAAGTATTGTGTTCTCTCCTCCTGTATCAGTTATGCCTCCTATTCCAACAGAAGGCTCTGTGGCCTCCTATATTTTACTTCCCCCGTTTACAGTAGTATGTATTTTGGCACTGTGAACACAAAATTCCCACTGCAGATGTGAAAATTAAAAATACTGGTATACAGAACTATAATTTTTCCTGCAGTGTTGTATGGGTGAGAAACTTGTTCTCTGACATTAAGTGAAGAAAATAGAAGGTATTTAGAACTGGCTGCTGTGGAGAATATCTCACTGAGGAGACTGGAATGCAGAATGCAAGAAAGTATATGTCATGACGTTTAATACACCATTTTTCATCATTTTAAAACAGTATTTTCAAGAGCCATCTTATACATTAAATTTTAACAGCTACCAAATTTAGTTTAAATAATATACTTTACCGATCTGTGACACTCCTGATTTAGTATTACTGTAATACAGTGTTTTTTATATATATTTTTTATTGCTAGTGGTGTGGGACTAAGTCCCTTGTACTACGGCCACTTCTGGCCTATTGTCCCAGCCCCAGATTTTAGGTGAGGGTGAGTGTGGAGCAATTGGTGGAATGAAGATTGGCAGAGGAAACTGAAGTACTTGGAGAAAATCTGCCCTAGTGCCACTTTGTCCACCGCAAATCCCACTTGACCAGACCTGGGATCGAACCCGGGCCACTGCGGTGTGAAGCCAGTGACTAACCGCTTGAGAATACAATGTAACAATTTATGGAAGTCATATGGCCATTTGAGACCAGAAAGTGGCTTTGAATTTACACAAAAGCATGGACTAGGTGGTGATTCAACCAATAACCTGTAAAGCTGCATGTAGAGGTGTGTGCATGTGTATGTCAAGTGATGAGCTAATGCAGCAAGATGCTGAAATACTAGCATATTTGGATAGAAGAAGGATGACATAAGAAGTTTGAGAATTTCCCCCCCCCCCCAAATCTGGAATGCCAGGGAAGGTGAGATGGCTAGTGTGTGCAACAAGCACAGAGGGGAAGAAATTTATATAGGTTTTTGGTTAGAGGCAGAAGGGAGGAGACCACTAGGAAACCCCAGATGTATTATTTTATTATTATTGGAGGGGGTGGGTTTCCCCATGCACTGCGACCAGTTTGATCTATTGTACATTCCCCTTTTTGATATTCTACCAGTCTCTATACCCTACCGGTACTGGTGCGTGCCATCAGCCCCGACTCAGCCAGCAAGTTCGGCCTCTACTGGCTCAGCGGTACCTTTGATGCTTCTCCCATCTACCAGAGGCGTTAGAAACTACTGTTGAGCGGGAAATGCCCTACAATTTGGCTCGGAGGTCTCCTTGAGACATGAGGTTCTTTTACGTGCCGTAAAGCTACGACACGGGATCAACGGCTTAGAGTCCCTCCCGCTGGACTTGTTCCCTGAATTTTTCCGGCCTTATAAATTCCACGACCTCCGCCGGGGTTGAACCCGCGTACCTTGAGTCATGAGGTGGGAACGTTACCCCAACCCCAGATGTAAGTGGGAGGAAAATGTTAAGTCGGATATTGTAACTTATATGAGTGACTGGCTGCTGCTCAAGGAGGGCTCTGCTTCATGGAGTTAGTTTACATCAAGTGTTGAAGTGGCGCTTCAGAATTATATCTCCCCCACATATAGAAATGCCTCAAGGAATGACAAGTATGCATTTAAAAGCGATCATTGCATTGTGAGCTCATGAGTTTCTAACTGCATGTGTGATAGGAACTCATTTTCATAATATTGCATGGTCTTTACTGGTTCCGTAGTGTTGATCACCATGTATTTACAAAGAAGAACGAAGTGAAAGTCCATTCCGCTGATTGGCGTCAAGTGTTTGGTTTATGTAGGAACTTTGCAGCTGTGTATAGCATAATGTATTGTAACCTGAGCAACTTTATATCAGGACAGTTGTGGGTGCTGCTGCAACACTTGCTCATGGTATGAAGTGATTTTGGTGAGTTGCTTGTAAAGCTCGTATTATATAACTCAGTGTTTGGGTTTCAGGACTACAATTGTTATTCAACTGTCATGGCCATGGTAATTATGACCCCATGACAGACTACCATTGTTTTGGAGGATAAGGTTTTGATAAGGGTTCATAAATGGCTCTCGGCATGAAGTGTGCCCTCGCAAGACAAAGTTTTGAAAAGGTTTACGTTGTATAAAAGACTCGTTCTTTAGAGAATGTAACGCGGATTGTCGAGCCGGTCCTATTGCTATGTCATCTGTTTCTGTATGCTTGATTTAAATTGTGTTGCATGTTCTCGGGAAGCAGACTTAAGAGTAGAAATGCAGTGTTCTTGTACTTTTAAAGAAACGACGGCGGTATTGTGGTGGTAAAAATGAAACATACATACTAGAGACGTTTGGTACTTCACTAATGCTTAACTTTCAGTTTTCAAAAATGCCCTTGAGACTCTAGTTTCTGAGACAGGGGTGTAGAGGGTTAGAAATGTAATGAAGTAATCCTTTATAAAATACTTGTGTTTCTGCTGAAGGTAATTAATGCAAATATACATATTAATACAAAGATCGATATTACTATCAGTTCTCCTCTAACGTACTTTCGCATATAACCCATATGACGCATATGACTTCCTCAATCGTTACAGTGCTTTTGTGTAGATGGTAGCACAGGCATGAACCAGAACGTAGTGCAATCTGTTGTCCGATCCGCGTAGTAAATTGGAAAGTGCAAGAATGCAAGAAGGTCATAATCTTTGCAATGGTGTCTCGTTTGTGTTGGGATGTCGTAATTCGTAAGGAATAAAGCTGTATTTAGTATGTGAATTGAGAATTACTACGCTTCATTGCAATATTTCCTCTATATGGTACGTATACTTCCATATATATGGAATTTGTAGAAAATATTCATTATGTAAGCGAATAATAATCTTTTCATTTGTAGTGAATGTCCAACTTGTGTAGCTCTGGTAAACGTCTTGAGCGTAAATTTTTGTTCAATTAATTAAGCGTCAGAACTGTAATATAATGGTGTTGAGGTGTGTAAAGGCTTTACTTTTTTGAAAAGTAAAAATCATTACTATATGGAACAGATTTATTATGAATGTTTGATAGGAAGGGTCGTGAATTGACGGCAGCGGGAAGTAAGGGGAATTAGTATGCAGTGTTGCCAGATTTGAGTTCATGTCAGCATCCCTAACCATAGAGTAAACATCACTTTAATGGAAAAGTTTGGAAGTGAACATGGTGGTTTTTATCGTGCTAATTTTTATTTCAGTATGAACAGGCTAGAACGTGGTATTTTCCAAATATGAGACATATGTTAACCATTGAGATCACCTGTTGGATTATAACCCAGTGCACTATTAAGGTAGACAGTGCGGTTTAATAACCATCGTAATGAATGTGTACTTTCAAAACTGGATATTTAGTGTTAGTGAACTGAGCTTATGTTGGAGTTAAACATTTTGGGTAAGGTAAAAATTACTCTTTGACCCTAAAGGTATGAGGTAGTACTTATATGTTCCTCTGAAATGTATGTAAACTTTTACAGGACCATGGTGGCACAAACCAGAAAATAGTATTTATCAAACTATTTAGACTCAACAGAAATGCAGTTTATAGTAATGCGTCATATTCTGATGTGAAAACATTCTGTCACGTTTAAATGGAATACCACAAACATTCCGAAATAATAATTAAGGCGACTGTTTCGGCTGTGAACCAGGCAGATGGCAGTGTGTTTGCTATTATTTAATAATGTTGCCTAAACTTATTAGGTAATATAGTTTCTTTTTTCCTTTATTGACAATCAGATTGTACAATCTATAAGTCAGTGTGCTGACTGGTGTACAATTTAATAACTATTTACTGTACACTCTTCTGGCATGTGCGGATCTGATGGCCAACTTCTTTTGAGTCTTTGATTTTCATGAGGTTGTAGTAGTTGTTGAAGAAGTGGGTTGGAGTGATTTTCTACTTTGCTGAAGTATTTGGTGCTGTTTTCTTGGATGACTTCCATTATGTAAGGCGTTTTTAGATCTGTATGTAGGGTGTGGTTGGATACATACGATGATGCATTCATGATGGATTGGAGTATTTTGGACTGGGCACGCTGTTTAATGGCAATGTTGGATTTGCTGGCGCAGCCCCAGAGTTTTGTGCCGTATGTCCATATAGGCTTGATGACTGTTTTGTAGATTAGTAACTTGTTTTCAATGGAGAGGTGGGGTTTTCTTCCTATGAGCCAGTTGAGTTCTTTGATTTTTTGGTCCATCTGTTTTCTTTTCTTAATTATGTGCTGTCTCCAGATTAGTTTGCTGTCAAAAGTTAATCCTAGGTATTTGACCTGTTCTTTTGGTTGTATGTTGATGTGATTTATTTGCGCTGTGGGGCAAGTGCCTTTTTGGAGGGTGGAAGTTGTTTGTGTGGACTTTGATTCATTTACCTTGATTTTTCATTCGTTTAGCCATGCTTCTATGAGGATTAGATGATCTTATAGATGAGTTAATATAGTTTTGAATGCCAATGTTTATATATACTCGTATGTTTGTATGTATCATTGTTTCCTTTTAAATATTGTATTTAAGCATCCAGTTGCATTAATATACTCTTCATTTCAACACTGTAGTTCTGTCCATAATGTAACCCATTTATTATCTACCTGTTTACAAGACCATCATTATGTGTCACTATTTGTTAGAACTGTTACACAGTGTAATATGTGCAACTTAACATATCATATGCAAATGTGATATCTCTCAAACAAACCAAGTCCGTGGTTTTAGTCCGCAAGCGAGCTATAACTTTTTACCCCATAATATAGGGTTCTGATTTGGAAGCATACTACTTACCTCCATCTGGTCAAGTTGTCATTAATGTACAGAACTGTACTTTCATGACTGTTTGCAACTTACTCTGCATCACTCATCTGCTTTTCCTTTACAGTGTCATCATCAGTAATCTGTCAGACGACAGGTCCACAGTCTCTTCCAAAACAGTTCCTTTACTTAATGCTATCTAGAGTTTTCTCCTTCAAATGAGAATATCCTCTTCTGTCCCCAAGGTCATCCAGCATCTTCTTACATCTTCCTCGTCTTCTGGTCACTTCTATCCGCTCATCTATCTTTCCTTCAATAACTTCTTTTAGAAGGCAGTTACTGCGTAAGATATGACCAATCCAATTAGCCTTTCATTTTCTTATTTTGTGTAAGATATTCATCTGCTCACTGACTCTAATTAACACTTCATTATTTCTCACATAATCGGTCCAACTGATCATCTCCATCCTTCTCCAACACCACATTTCGAAACTTTCCAGATGTTTCTGATCTACTGCCCTAAGTGTCCATGTTTCAGCCCCATACAGAGCTATGCTCCAAATGTAGCATTTCACTAGTTTCTTCCTCAAATTTAAGTCCAATTTGCTGGTAAAAAGATTCTTCTTCTTGCTAAATGCAGCTTTTGCCATGGCAATCCTGGATTTAATTTCACTACTACACCTTCCATCATCTGTTAACAAGCTACCCAAATATTTAAAACATTTCACATTCTCCAGTTGTTTTTGGTCTAACTTTATTTACAGTGTAGGTAAAAAAACAAACAAGTAAAGTGATCCCTATAACAGGCCATGAAGGCCTCTAAGGGTTATGAGCCATTGAGACTCCCACATTTTGTAGACAGTCGGCTCATCTATGACTGTGATTTTGTCAGCTTTATGCACTGGCAGCCCTTTATCCCTAGGAAGATTCCTGGTACTCATATCTGTTAGAGGTTGAGTCATCCTCAGGGCCATAGTTGCAACTGGAAAGATCAGGTCAGTTGAAGAAGCCTGTGAGCTCATGGGAAATCGAACCCATAACCTTCCAGCTTGTAGCATCTCACCTCAACCATCTACGCCACCACATGGTACAGTGTAGGCAACATGACTAATGTAATAATGGATTTTATGGAAGTTTATGTATGTTGGTGATGGTGAATTCAAAAAAGAAACTTGGGAGTAACAGGACAGATTTCGGTAGAGGTGTTTTCTCTGTGCATTGTGCATTGTTGGCACATGCTGACCTCCATCAGATTTATAAGTAAAACTTGTTTGTATATTGCCATGCAGTCGATTGATTGTAGACGGGGATTGGATTGGCAATTGGATTTACTGGACTCTCTAAACAACTTGTAACTACACTATACAAATCATTGTCTCACAAAGACTAGTGTTCTCAGACATGGGTGGGACTTCCAGGCTTCGACTGCATTTGGGGGTTCATTGACTCCCATGGTTGTTGTAGGCTTCGTGGCTCTTTCATTTGTATTGTCTGTAGATTTCCACTTTCGCCTTTTTTGCTCACAGAATTCCTCGATGGATGTAGGTGCAATAATTGTGGTCTTGGCTGTTTCCCCTTTGGCTGTGTCCTCTTTGAGGATTGCCATCAAGTCTTGTAGCACCTCTTTGTACGCTCCATATACAGTGCTATACAGATGCTTTCTTTTCAGAAGCTGGTGGAGGTTCCTCCTGGTATATGCCATGTCTTGAATGATTAGAGTCTGTTTTACACTTTGGCTGACAAATGCAGGGGTACAGCCCCCTAAGAGGGCAGTGGTAATGAGTACCCCACATAACGTTTCATGAAAGCATAAGTGTCATGATATTGTTGTTTGGTGTATTCTTATTCCAACCTTAGAGTGACAGTACAACAGTCATTGCTAAGAAACAACTTTGTGGACACGTTTCCCATCAATGAAAGAATATGCAATAATGGAAGAAACGTTTTCTGTCCAGTCTTTGCCGGTGCTGCATAGCAGGACTAGTAGTTCATTTCACTAACAATGGACTTACTAGTACATGCTATGACTGACAAATGACAGACCTGACTTCTCGTCAGAGAGAGCACCCCAAATGGACAGGACAACAACTTTCATATAAGAAGAAACATCTGTCATGATCCCAGCTGGGGCTCGACACCAAGACAGGCAGACTGACTGACCGTCATTTGCAGTGTGACTTTGACTTTGACTGTGATTTGTGAGAAGTGTCGACCGAGGGTGCTGGGCCGAATACCTCCGCCGTGACCCTGTGAGTCGTAGGAGGTGACGAAAAGGAAGTCTCAAATCTGAGACAGTAAAATATTGTCGTGAGTACCAAGGGTCTTGGACCTGAGAAAAACTGTGCTGGAAAGGGCCAGCAGCATATACAAAAGACAGACCCGTCCTCTCATCAGAGAGGGCGCCCCAAGAAAACAAAGATCGTAACTGTCAAACAGTAAGAAAATCTGGGGCTCAACACCAAGACTTACTGGTTGACTGGCTGCCAGTTGCAATGTGACTGACTTCGTGAGAAGGTACGTAACATAGGCCTGAGCTTCGCAAAGCCTCTGCTGACAAGAGGGCCTGTCTAGTGCAAAAGGAAAAATTCCCAATAACATGCTATGTGTGTGATATATATGCATCTGATGAAAGGCCAAACATATTCATAAGAAACAAACCCATCTTCCAGTTATAGAGGAAGTTACTTAAGGAATGCTACCGTAAGGGTTCAGTTGAAAGAAGAAACTCTGGTCTTGGGTCCCAAGGGGCTTGACGCCAAGGTGAACTGATTGGTGGTAAACCGCCAGTCATAAAGTAACTTGACTTTGACTTTGACTTTGACTTTGACTTTGTGAGAAGCTGGTAACTGAGTTGGGAACAGGGAACCCAGAGGAAGGGGTGCCCGCTGTTAGCAGCAGATACCAAGCAGCAGGTAGTGAAAGCTGAGAAGGTTTATGTGTGAGACTGCCATAGTTATTTGTAGTTGCGTTGTGTAAGTGTTCAGTAAATCCATTTACCAGTCCAAAACGCATCTATAGTCAGTCACATGACAATATGATGTGAAGGA